CACAATCGCCGTCAAAGATCGTCTTGACCGTCTCGAGAGGCAATGGTACTGCATGATATTAGGCCTCTCTCCTGAGTTTCTGTCTCCGGAATATAGCGCAGCTGATCAGAGTGTGGAGGGTCATCGTCTGAGACTTGAAGCTTTACATCTGGTACACGTGTAAGTATGATCATATGGCCTTTTAGATTCAACATTAAGATTTTGCGTCATACTAAAAGATGATGCTAGAACAGGCTTACTATCTGGAATACCGCCGCTGCGCCCACTAACGATGGAGCGCGATAGGTGGCTAGATAGAAACGAAGCATCATACAACTATGAAACCCGATGGAGCAATAGCATATCCCACGCTCTTCGCATTGTCGCACTTTACCAACATGGAAATTGGCCTTCTCAAGCATTTCTCGAAGGTGATGCAATCACTCTGTTCCCCATCCTGTGGACAGCAGCGTCGTTCTTGTCCCTTGCACTCATGAGGTCTGGACCGGTTGATGCCACGGAGAAAATAGCCTTGCTGGATGCATTAGACTCAGTCATGATACAGCTGATGCAGGCATCGCGACATTGGGGCATTGCTAGACGTTTCCTTTGTGAGTGGAGATTTCCAAGTTCTTCAGTTTCATTGCTGACTAGCCACTCTTTCAAGCCTCTCTAAAAGAGCTTCGAGGCTTAAGTTATTTCAGACTTGACATGAGTACCATTTTCCAGCTTGTTTTAGGGATCTACAGTCCCCTCAAACCGGATGCCGTGGAGCGTGAGGAACCGAAGGGCTCTTTGGACCCAACTGTCGAAGAGGATGGTGTCTTCAGGGACGACCAGAACTCCGAAGGCGATCCAAGTCAGATGACATCTGCGTGGACCGGAGAAGATATTTCCTCGTTTATCGACTGGTCTGGTGGAAACCCGAACGATCAAGGCAGTGAATGGTGCGGTCCAGAGACCTCATACGGGCTTTAGTGACTGTGAACAGAAACTATCGAGAGTTAGGAAATGCATCCAGGAGAAAGCAGTTCCGATTCGAGTGTTTTTCAAACTCAACCTGTGCGACGTTGTCCGTCCAAACCCAACAATTTACGTGAACTTATCTCTGATCACCGCTCTAGACCCCGCGGTGGCGTGAGAAATCCTTGAGATGGCGTCATTCTACCCCTCAAAACCCCACGATACACCTTTGCCCCAACTGGGGAAGATGGGGCACTCCAAAGAAGACATTAAGAACACGTAACCAACTGTGCTCATTAACCAAGATTGACGAGATACCGTATTTTTTACCTTGTGCTTGGCGGTAACCTGTTCATAATGACGCAAGAACGATAGCGATTGATGTGATGAATGCCAAGAGGACAGGGCCTTGACTTTTCGCAGTCACCAACACCAACCTTTATCATTGTCCAGACCAACCGCCGACATCCGAAGCGATTACTGCCCTATGAACTTTTCTTAGCCAAGAACGAGGTATTTGCCTGAATGGCTGGCTTCACATTGCGTGATCATGCACAGTATTTGTGTCAGTGGGAGTCGTGGGGTATGTGGATGATTGCTTATCCAAATGGAAATATGCGATGATTAGTCGATCATTCTGGATATTTCCTTCGTACCTCAGCGATTTGGAAGCTGATGACAACATGACCTAAGGCCATGTGTTTCCGTATACCCAAGACTTAAGGAATCACAACTCGTGATGGGCTAGTCGAGTGTTAACCTTCCATCTGCTTGACTGCTGTATAACTATGATGGGTAAACACATGAGCCCTGGATGGCCTAGGCTAGAGAAACATCCATGGCTAATCTATAGAGTATATGAAGGGGCGCGAGTCCGGGGCAGCTCCTCCTCCACACCACCACAAACACCACCACAACCAATTGCTCCCTTCAACATCAAGATACCGCCAACATACCCGGGCTCTTTCACAGACTTTTGAATTCTCATGCATGCGCATGCAACTTCAGCAAATAAGATCTCACCGATAATGAACAGAGGATCTCCGCAGGGTGAAATTGCTGGAAAGCTACCAGGTAAATGCCAACCTTTAGTATGGTGTTCGGCCTTAGGATTGGGCATCTTAGTCGGACTTCAGCCGGTCTGCGTCGGGTCTCGCCCGATCTCTGGGTTCCATCGGGTGCCCATTACGGCCAGAATATGCTTCCAAGACTTTTGACGACTTACAAACCCTCCATTACGACAGAATCCTGCAGCCTTTTGTTGTACTCCACGTGGAGTACCAAATCTTGGCAAACAGAATGCTTTTGATATAACATCGTGGAGAATATGGTTGCGGCCATGAGAAAGTCCGCTAATTGTCCTTGCGAAGACAATCAGAAAACTGGCACCCAATTCATCTATTCTACGCGGTTTCTTAAGGGCATTAACTACTTCTAGGTATGCCTGGTTCCATCGCGGAAGTCCGGCCAGCCGATGCCGATGCCAAAACTTCAGCTTCTTCTCAAAGCAACGACAAGGGCATCGTCGAGCCGGCTATCACTGAGGTCCTCCAAGAAGCACCGAAACGAACATGGAAATCTTATTTGTGGGACACCTTCGACAAGTCTCCAGAGGAACGTCGATTTCTCTTCAAGCTCGATGCGGTGTTGATGACATTGGCATCACTCGGTTACTTCATTAAGTATTTGGATCAGGTACTTGATGAAAGCCCGACGAAAATGAGCAGTGACTGAAACATCTAGGTCAACATCAACAATGCATTTGTGTCTGGCATGAAAGAGGATCTCAGCCTGTATGGGAATGAGCTCAACTATATGCAAGTTTGTTGGACGGTAGGATACGTGATTGGAGAGATTCCCAGGTGAGTCCACCCCTTACTGTGTCACTCAACATCCATAATGACAGCCTCCCCAGTAACATGCTTCTCACCCGGATTCGCCCTCGAATCTGGATTCCAATTTGCGAGGTAGGAAACTAGAAGCAAATTACACATTCAAACAGCAACTGATTGGCATATTAGGTTACCTGGTCGGTTCTCACTATCCTACTTGCAAAATGCCAGACTTCAACTCAGATCTACGTCCTTCGCTTCTTCATTGGCCTTGCAGAATCCACCTTTTATCCAGGGATGCAATACATCATTGGCTCCTGGTACCGGAAAGACGAACTGGCCAAGCGTAGTTGCTTGTTCCATGCAATGGGAAACGTTGGGTCAATGGTTTCCGGCTATCTTATGGCTGGTGCCCATAATCTTGACGGCGTGCATGGCTATCACGGCTGGCAGTGGCTGTTCATCACCAACACTATCGTGTCCCTCCCGATTGCCATTTCTGGATTCTTGTTCCTGCCTGATTTACCAGAAATCACAAAAGCCTGGTACTTTACTCCCGATGAAATCGTCCTAGCTCAAAAGCGTATGCAGCTGGAAGGACGTGCCCAGAGGGCCCCTTATACGAAGGCAAAGTTCGTCAAGATCTTTTCCAGTTGGCATATCTGGACTCTGGTCATTCTTTACATTGTCTTCAACAACGGCAACGGAGGAAACTCTCAACCCGCGTTTCCCCTTTGGCTGAAGTCTGAGGGCTACAGTCTTCGCGAAGTCAATATCTATCCCACGATTACCGAGGTAGTCAGCATTATCACCACATTGATCTACGCATGGACCTCAGACAGTCTGTTTCGAGGAGCTCGCTGGCCAGCAATCGTCTTCTCAGGGCTAGTCAAAATCATCGCTTATGTTCCCTTGACAATTTGGAATGTGCCCAACAGCCTCAAATGGGCATGCTTCATCCTGTGTGGGTTTGGAGGAGGAATCAGTGGCCTCACATTCGCCTGGGCCCACGAAATCTGCAGCGATGATAACGAGGAAAGGGCTTTGGTCACCGGGGCCATGAATCAAATGGCGTACGTCTTTCAGGCATGGCTGCCATTGGTGATTTGGCAACAGGTCGAGGCCCCTGCTTACCCCAAAGGCTACCCGAGCATGGCTGCCCTTTCAATCGTTCTGATCGGCATTGCCTTTGTCATTCGTTTCCTACACAAGCGGGAGATACGTCTCAAAGGTGCACTTGGGTCAAATCCTGCCTGAAAACCGGATGCCGGGGGTTAGCTGTCCCTTTCCAGCTGGGGTTCACAAGAATACGTGCAAGTTTCTCCAATGAGGTATGGGTAGGAACCATTCAAGGCGCAGAGAAAGTTGAATTTAGCCTGAATAATGCAACATCTACACATGAGTCTCTCAAGCGGCACAAATTGGGCCTTTCTCTCTTCTTTCTCCAGCCCGCATTTACTTGCGGACGCCTGAGTCAACCCGACTGAACATTAAAAGAAGACTACTGCACCCAGCTGACAGGTCTCCACTAGGCCGTCCGCCGCTTCGGACGAATACCCCATACAATGCGAACCGCGACGCGAATCGGACGACGAGAAGGTGGATAAGAGTGTTTTTTGAGCTGTACATTTGCGTGTCAGCGGCTTGCATATTGCGATTTGACTAAAGTTGCACTTATGTGTATCAAGGATGAGGGAGGCAAATGTCTCGGCCTTTTAATGAGTGTGCCAACTTGATAGAGGATGAGTTCAGTCTCACATCCAGCTGGTGTCCTGATGCCAACAACGGCTAATAGGCGACTGATGTGAAGACTTTCTCGTCTTTGCCTGTGTTATTTACCAGGCGCTCAAACGTCAATTGATGCGCATGACATCCAAGGTGCCAGTCTCTACGTCATTAGTAGGACTAGTAAGACAGAGATTGATCCATCATTGTCAGGGTTGCACGAACAGCCAAGACTTGGGGATAGTACTGTGTGGCAACTCAAATGCGAAAGCGAGCCCAGCCTCATCTTCTCGGATTGCGGAGCACAAACGCGAAGAGCGAAATGATACCGAAGACGCGAACATGATGTCGTCGTAAAGGCGCAACGCATGATCAATACAATAGACTCAACGCGAGTCCTCATCTCAGCTAGATTCTTAGTATCTGCAGTCACAAAACAGACATCACACTTACTACTACTTTTCTTCTTCCCCGGCCACCAGCTTTGAAGCTCAGACCAACATGGCCTCTCCTACACCGACCAACTTTGCCATGAGGCTCACTGCGTTCGGCGCACCTCTGACGAAGGTCGAACTCCCCGTGCCCGAGGCTTCTGCGGGTACCGTCGTCGTGCGAAATCTCGCAACATCCCTCACGTCCTACATGCACCTCATCTTAGATGGCAAGCTGCCACAGCACAACTTGCAGCTCCCAGTCATTCCGAATCCGCCATGCGTGGGACGTATTCATGCCGTGGGCCCGGACGCGGTACGCCTCAAGTCTGGCGATCTTGTGTACATCTAACCAATGGTACAGGCTCGCGATGATCCCTACACCAAGATTGTGCAGGGTCACATCTGCGGCACGAGTGACGGGGCCTATAGGCTCTGGGAAGAGTGGAAGGAAGGTGCATTCCAGCAGTACACCAAAGTCCCCCTGGAGAACTGTATTCTGCTCACTATGTGGAGAGCTTGGCTACAGCCCAGCGGTGCCACAGTCCATCGCAAACTACGCTGTCTTCGCTGGAGCTATCATTGAAGCCGCAAAGCTGAAGCCCGCCGAGACCATCATCATTGGCCCATCGTCTGGTATGTTCAGCGGTCTAGCCGTTGAAATTGCCTTGGCCGTGGGTGGAAACGTCATTGCCCTCGGACGGAGCGAGAGAAAGCTCGCGGCAATGAAGCAGAGAATCGGTGGAGATCCAGGCCGTCTGAAGTACGTTGTGATGACGGGCGACGACGAGATAGACTCCGGAGCAATTATGCAGGCCACACCAGATGGAGTCGGAGCTGAGGTCTACAATGACTGGACCCCTGAGGGCAACACCGGGGCGTTCTACCTCTCAGCTGCGTCCCGCACGCTAAAGTTCAATGGTCGCATTGTCCTAAGCGGCGGAACGACTGCAGGGCTTGGAGGTTTGAGCTACATCTCGGCAGTTACCAGAGATCTACAAATCCTTGGAAAGTGGGTTTGCAACCGTCAAACTGTGGAGCAGTTGCTCGGCATGGTGACTTGTGGATTGCTGAGGATTGGCGTCGAAAGCGGTACTATACTGAAGGAGTTTACTCTAGATCAGGTGATGGAAGCTGTGGAATACGCTCGGGAAAATGTCGCATGGAGACACTACGCTGTTGTTTGCCCATAGTGTCATGAGCTTCACAATGTAGGTGAAGCCCTGTTTGTAAGCTGAGTAGATATGCTATAGCAAGGATTTGAATGTATTTTATATCACAGGAAAGTGTGAAACTGTTGCTTTGATTTTGTTAAGAAACGATTATGTGATGGGCTTAATTCTTACGCATTAGATACAACCCATTTAATTGGCCTGTGGCCCAGCGGTATGTTTCCGGTGTCGTTCTATAGACCTATGCCTCTGAAAGACCGTTAGTGGAAGTAATAATGATGATAGCGGCGGCAATCATAATAACGAAGACGACGACGATGATAACGACGACAGTGGCGATAGCAGCGACGACCACAGTAAATCAGAGTGTATCACCACAGAAAATATAGTTGCTCTAGTATAGGAAAATTAAGCGGTCGCTTAAATATTTAAAGCTATATAAGAAAGATGTGAAACCCCTATGTAGATTTAAGAAGAAAAACATGACATGCTTTTTTTCTAGTAGCCGCAGATCCCAGTCACTATTGGTATCCGTGATAATCACGCAGGGCCGATACCGTCAAAGAAGACCTCGTCTAACAGCGGAAACAAGGCGCTCTGACCGACCCACTGCTCCTCAGCAGCGCCTCTGATACGCTCAGGTGGCAGAATAAAGCCATAGTCCCCCGTATCAGGAAGCTCAATGGTGTACGAGAAGTCAGCACCACCGATAGCGTAGACGTGGTCCGGAGCAGCTCCGGTCGTTGTGTACAGCGTAGCACCACTCGGTCCAAAGGTGAACGTCGTGCGCCGCTCGGAGCTGTCCCGGATGACCTCGCTCAGGATTGATGCGGCCTTGGTCCACTTTCCAAGCTCGGGTGCATACCACTCCTCCTTCGATCCGAATGGTGAAAGGATGTACTGGCCGTAGCTGTGCCAGTCGATAAACAGCTTGATTCCAGCCGCGTCACGGACCTTGCGGACGTAGGCATCGAGACCTTGGTTCTCAATAGTGTCGGAATGTCTCTGACCACGATAGGCTTGGGCGCAGGCGTTTGTCGAGGCACCGAGTGAGTTTACGTCCCATCCGTACTCCCAGTTTCTGTTGATGTCTGTACCATAGCAGGACTGGTTCTGCGGCGGCGGGGGAGGCGGGGTGCGGGTCTTTCTCCAGAGACGATCAACTTCCTGGGAGTACGCAAAGCCGTCGGGGTTGACGATGGGGAAGATGTGGAAGTCATAAGTGTTCAACCAGGAGTCCGTGGCATTGGTGGCGTTCTTGTGGGTGTTGATGAGTTGGAGAGTTAGGTACTCAACCACCTTGATCAGGTTAGCCGAATGCTCTGGGACATTCAGCGGTTAACTTACCTTGGACGTAATCCATTCTCGGGCATGCACGTTGCCGCTGAAATGACATTAGAGCCTGTTTTATCATAATCTGACAGCATACAACTCACTGGTAAAGAACAGCTGGCTTTCCTGGGCCGCCGTCTCCCCAAAGGTGAATACCCTGGATGGTCCGATTCTCATAAGAGTGACCGGCGGTAATCAATTCGGAGTTGTCGGGAAAAGACTCGTGGAGGTTCTTGATGTACTGAATATGGTCCGCATACGGATGGTAGGAGTCATACCATGACAAATCGTCGACATCACGCTTGTATGTACCCCTGAGCTGAGACTCTGCTGTGATAGACTCGCCGAGATCTTTGTGAAGCACGCGGTAATCTAGACCCTGGGCCTCAACGTTGGCGACCTGGTCAGGAGAGACCACAATGTCGATGTGAGTGTCGATGTCGTGGTTCCATTGCTCGTGGGGGATTGTCGAGAGCTTTTGTTGGACGGAGGCCAGTTTGCTAAGAGTCTTGACGCGGAGAACTTGGTAACCTTCATACGAGATGGCGCCTCGCTTCTGGACAGAGAGTCCCGCGGCGAGGGAGGCTACGAGTGAGGCGACGAGGATGGGCTTCATCGTCGCAACTGAAGGTCTGTAACGGTCTACAGCGGTGCACGCGAAAAAGGACTGAGGCTAGGAATCTTAGGGCGAGGGACACTGCGGATGCCTTTAAGTATCTCACCACCAAGCTGGCAAGGATTCGTGAGTTTTCTGCTGATTTTGCGCATCTTCTAGGAAGTAAGCGCCAAGCCTGTCCCGCACTGGAGTACGATGATGGTGTGCTGTTACGAACTAGGATGAAATAGCAGACTTTGCACTCTGAGCTGCACTCTGAGCATGCAAGTTCCAGGTCTCAGTGCAAGCTAGGAAAGGCCCCAAGAAGCGTTCTTCTGCCATAGATTCGCAATGACGTAAACCATCAGGGTCACCTTCCTTATGGAGCTAGCAAATGCATGGCGTTTCTCATCATACTGGGACTTTTTAGATTTCGCGATTTTTATTGATCATGGCGTTTTCAATTCTTACCTTCAATTGATCTCCCCCATCCACATCCAATTTGTGGAGGTTTGCGCCACACTATTAAAAAATATGTTTACACTTTAATAGATGCCTACTGAGCATCGTGGTGCTGTTTACGATAACCAGAAAAGCTTCGATCCAGGTTCGCAAGAGTATTGTCAAAGAAAACCGTTATCACATCTTTTCCAAGTTGCAGTGGCTTACTTATTTCGCGACTGACACTCACATTGAGCTTGGCGAGAAGGGCTTTCAGGTCCACGATTGAAGCATGGGTGAAGTTCCACGTCCCGTGGCTTGGGGAAATGCGTCGCTCTTCTATCTCTTCAATGGAATGGCAATGTACGCTGTGAGGTATATACAAGACCACCGGTCCAACTGCTCAGATCGACTCTGGCAACACCATTCTTAAAGTTCATCATGAGTACCGGCCTTCTCTTTCGCGTCTTCGACATTGTCCTTAGAGGCTCCCTCTCGGGTCTCCTTCTGTTCCTCGGCCTGGGTCGGAGCCGCCTCATCGTCTGCGTCAACCTCAACGACTTCGAGGATCGTCTCTCCATCCCATGGTTCGATGTTACCTTCAGAAATATCGGTGATGAATGCTTCCACGGCATCGATCGTGATCTCTCCAGTGAACGGGAACACTTGGCCAGTGGCTGGGTTCTGCAAAGCAACAGCGTCTTCGATGTTTGTGGGCAGGCCGAACATTGCAGGCATCTCAGGGTACTCGGTCAAGTCGACGGTGACAAAAGTGATGTACTGGTGATACTTCTTGGCCAAGGGGATGACGGCGGAGCTCCATGCGTCCAAAAACTGGTCGATCCTGGCGAAGAAGTAGACCAACGACTTGCCCGCCTACATCTCGGTCAGCAACCACAACAGACTTGAAGGGTGGTAGGGGAACAGACATTGAGGTACTCCGCCTCGTTGCGTCTCGTCAATCGCGGTACCAATGGCGCCGCGCACTTCTTGATCAGCTTCTCCATGGCATCGACCTCCTCCAGCTCTGACGACATTTGCATCGCGCCAATGGCATTATTCCAGCATGTAATTCGGCCTGGAGATTCAGGAACGTCGGTCAAGCCGAAAGAATAGCGATCGTGGAAGCGCTCGGCAAGATCATTGTACCGCTCGCGTAGGGAGGATTCTTCGGTGGTGAATTGGCCCAGCACGACGACGTCGTCGCTGCTTCGGAAGGAGGACAGAGTCTGCTTCTCGACGGGGGTTATAACGGGTCGGTTCATGCGATTGACGAAGGCGCCGATTCTGCGCAGGCTCATTAGCTGGGAGTGACAAAAGTCAAGCTTAGAATTCGACGTACTCAGACCCCTTCCGGGAGCCACGATAGTGATGTTTCGTACCATCGGGCCGGTAGAAGCGGATCGCGGGGAAGGAAGCTACGTCGAGGTCGGCGCAAAGGTCGGGGGAGGCTTCGCAATCGACGGAGAGGGCAGTCGGGATCGCATCCTCGACGGCACCCCAGTGCGGCTCAAGAGCTTTAGATGCATCGCTGTTATGGTCAGAGAGGTTACCCAAAGGTGCGACGCGCAACGTACGTTGAAGGCTTCTTGGATCAGTATGTTGCGTGCTAGAACGATATCGTTGAGCTGCTCGGAGCTGCTGGGACATTTATGGCGAGCTTACCGCGACAACTATCCAAGTGATCAGCGTAGCTCCAAAGCTCCAAGGAAGTCAACTTACAGGCAATCAGGCTGTATTCATTGGTGGCAATCGCATCACGAACTTGAGCTTCTGCTTTGTGTTGCCAGCCCAGGCCGGTACCAGCGAGCGCCAGTAGCGGCAAGACAACCTTCAGAGACATTCTAACGAGTGCGACGGTGACGTATGAACACAGTGGCCGGATGCCGAAGAAAAAGAGAGGAAGAAAAAGGCCACTTCAAAGCTCGAGCTTGGGGAATTGACTCGCTGCGGCGGGGAACCCTAGCTGCCCCTTGCACCCCTGAATTTAGATGAACCGCCGTTTGATCGCCTTCAGGGGGTGGGGAATCAGCGCCGAAGCATGAACGGTGTCCTGAACTCCAGAATTTGGACCACAGGTGTGCAATAAGTTAACCACCACCGGCTTCGAAGTGATGTAAAACGGTGAGAATGAGAGCGGAAGCGTGCTAAGCCGAACCGAATCTTCAACGGAGGTGTTCAACGCCGCTGTGGGGCTACCGGTCTCGGGGCCGATCGCACGCCCTGGCCTGTAAATCGCTTGCAACTCCAGAGGCACGGCCGTAACCTCTGGATCGAGAGTACATGTTCCCCGGTCCTTGCCCGCAGCATTAGTTCAGTCCTTCGAACATTCCTCGACTAGACGCTCACCGGTATGGATCCCCCCTCAGCCTATTCCATAAGAGGAAACCTATTCGTAGAAGTGTTGTCGTTGTTGAGGGAGAATTGGTTTTCGAGCATGACACGCATCGAGTCTACTGCGACGATGCCTTCATCCCCGCACAGCACACCTTCCCTCAAGCATGGGGCAACCGCCGTTCTACGATAGTAGCCTCCTGTCTTTCACTGATGAGTTAAGGATCGGTTAAGATTAAGGTTTTCTAGGAGCCGTTTGCCGGCTGATCTCAACCTTATTCAACCCCATGGCCTCGCCCCCACGAACCGGCAAAAACGTGCCGACTTGACAGAGTCTAGACCAACGCGAAGAGAGCCCACTATGGATTGTAACACGAATCGAGCAACTGAGCTTGCAACAGAGATGTCAGCGGAAGCTTGAATCATGTTCAACGGCTACTTCGACTAGCAGACACACACTCAATGCAGGAAGAACTCGGTGTGAGCTGGCCGGCATGTAGCCCCGCTTTCCATCACCGGCAGGCAGCAAGATCGTGTTTGGGTAACACGAGAGGCTGAGCAAACGCTAAGGGTGTGATGACAACCCGGCAGCCGGAAGAGTGATGACATGCAGGCTGCAACACCAGCTCGCCTCGATTGCGCAGTGAATCGACCTGGGCGCTGCATTTTTTGACAAATAGGTATGTCTTAGTTCCCACAGGCTGCTATCTTGTAAAAGCCGGAAACCCAATCGTTCTTCGATATCAAGACAGCATTACGGTGTCTCCTCCTTGAGGGTCTTGTCTCGGGCCGTGTCAAGAGCAAACGAGTTAACATCTGCCCCTCATTACGCCCGTATTCGCCCGCACTAACGGACATAACGATGCCTTCGGCACGGAAATGCAGGTCTATCCGTTGGTGCATGCTCGCTCCCGTCAGCCCCTCACCCACGAGGGCCACCCGCTTGACTCCACCCGCAGACGCGATCCGACATGGGCGCTCTCGATGCAATTATCTTGCCAACCTCCATTGCCAATCGCTGCTTCCCGAGGACCGGGTAGGCCTAACCGGTGCATCTCGTTTGCCCAGCCGGGCAAGCTCATGGGTACGCAAACAACGGGGTTTCAGCTGGCATTGATCGGAGCCATCGGGGGAGTAACCGAGTCCGACAGGAAGTGCAGAAACGCCTCGGTTGCATGCATGACACGCAGCGAATGACGATGCGTGGAAGCCCAACCCCAACATACGCGTTCAATCGAGAGCCAACGTTGTTTGCTGCCGTTTGACACCTTTTTATTTTCTTTGCTTTTTCCTCCACATTGGCTGAGGGGACGCCCAATGAACCTAGTCTCGCTCCAACCGTTGGCAGCGCCTCAACTGTCGGCTGCAGACTGAGACAGAGCGCCCGCCGCCCTTTGCGCTCCTCAACGGATGCATTGCGGAACGGCGTGCCTCTGTGCCCGCTGCGTCATTGAAAGGCACGTCACTGGCCGGTCACCTCTAGCCTAAGCGAGAGATGAGATTTTATTTGTGAGGAATCGAGCAGCGAAACGGGATGGACCGCGAGGTTTCACCGCATGGAGGTCCTTTTCGTACGATGACACCCCTCCCCTCTTAAAGACCGTTTGTCTCGGTCAGACAGAGACCTGGTGCCTGCTCGTCTGCTTCTCTGAAAATCTCTGCGGCTACCTCTGCGTCCCCACGTTTCGTCCTGCCATCCTTCTTTAGCGTTCATCCGTGCGAGAACTTGACGGCGATATCTGTGGAACGACATGGCATCCGCGTTCATCGAGCTGGCGACGGGTCCTTCAAGGACGGAGCCGTCAATCCCAAGCCCTCCCGCTTCTATCCCAAGCCCTCCAGCTGATCCGCAGCCTTCGAGAACGGGGCCGTCTGTCCGGGATCCTGCTGCCGATCCACAGCCTGGGGTGGCTGCAGATACGCGGATTGAACCGAACCCGGACCTCGATGGTGGAGATGACAACGACGATGCAGACTCTGCCATCGACGCCCAGAGTATTGTATCGTCTACGGCGTCGCTGTCCGAGAGCATCTTCGACTATCGCAAGCTTCATGGTCGGACGTACCAGAACAGCAAGACGACAGAGTACTGGGCGCCGAACGACGAGCAACAGAATGACGGGCTAGACATGATCCATAACGCACTGCTGATGCTTCTTGACGACGAGCTCTTTCTGGCGCCAATTGGTGATAACCCACAGCGCGTCCTGGATGTCGGCACGGGGACAGGGATTTGGGCAATCGACTTCGCAGACCAGTACCCCGATGCCGAGGTTCTTGGTACAGATATCAGTCCTATTCAGCCGACGTGGGTACCTACCAACCTGCGGTTCGTCATGGATGACTGCCTCCTCGACTGGATGTGGCCGGAGAATCACTTTGACTTCGTCCACCTGCGATGTCTCTACGGTAGTATACCAGACTGGGTCAGCTTGTACCGGTCAGCTTTCCGGCACCTCAAGCCTGGTGGTTGGGTTCAGAACCTAGAATTCGACGTCAACATCCAGTCCGACCATATACAGCTCCCGCCCGATCACATCTTCCACGAATGGAGGCAAATTTTCGACCAAGGTGGAGAGAAGATGGGACGGTCCTTCTCAATCTCCCGGGGGCACACAATGAAGCACAACATGGAGGCAGCTGGGTTCGTCGACGTGGTGGAGAGGAAGATCAAGACGCCCATGCACGGATGGCCGAAAGATGAGAAGCTGCAACACGCGGGGCTTCTCATCCATATGGCCTTTGATCAGAGTCTGGAGGGATTTGCCACGTTCCTGATGACGGAGATTCTGGGATGGGATCCGATACAGGCGACGGTACTTGGGGCGCAGATGAGGAGGGAAATGAAGAAGAAGTCTAACTACGCTTGGTGCGAGACGTACGTGTCCCTCCTGACATGGTGGATATGATGGATACGGCTGACTATTTTCCAGGACTATTGTTTATGGGCGCAAGCCAGCGATCTTCTGAAAGGAGCTGGGGAGACGACCAAGAAGAGACCAATGCAGATCAGCGAAACAGACCCTTCCAAGTTTGCCCGGCTTATATCAGTCCGGTAGCTCTACTAGGAGGAAGACGGGGGTTTTCTGTTCTGAACGAGAATCGTGTCGACAACAACCATTATCATTAGGAAGAACGCCTAGTTCCATACGCGCCATATCCCAATAATCAACAGCCTTGATTAAAACAAGGCAAAAATAATATCAAAGCCTGCTCAATTTCTTAATCCTCCAGCCGACTGCCTAGCCATCTTACCAACGTCGATAGCGATGCGTTGCCACGCGGATGCATCCGCCCGATCAATCACACGAAGTTTGTCATGTACATGTTGTTTAATTCAGTCGCCATCACCTGTTTGTTTCAATATGCCATTCAATCGCCGCCGATGCGAACTCTTTGATGTTTTGAGTGCGCCTTCGGTCAATGTCCGGTCATCGGCACGTCGTACCCGGCGGATGTGTCCGAAGTGCAGTGACTTGTTGCCCCTCCCCCGCTCCCCCGCATGAGGGGCAACTCACCGTTCCCGCGGGAGTTACGACGGACTCACTCCCGTCTCGGGAATCTTTCACGTTATTTTTGACGAATTTCCCATTGCTTAAGAACATTCCTCATCGTTGAGGGCAAATTAGCGTCATCTAACGATTCGGTTCCAAATCATCGTCTTCGCCCGACTCGTCGATTTCCCACCGCTGTCATGCCTCTGCCCAGCACCGAATGCGACGTTCTCGTCGTCGGCAGCGGCAACGCAGGATTCTCCGCCGCTCTGTCAGCCGCTGAAACGCAGTTCCCATCCGGCCAAAAGCCAACTGTCCTGCTAATTGACAAATGTCCCGAAGAATGGGTTGGAGGAAACTCCTACTTCACCGCCGGCGCCTATCGTACAGTCCACGACGGCCTCGACGATGTCCTCCCGCTCGTCAACAACGTCGACAGCGAAAAGGCGACCAAGATTGACCTGGCACCTTACAGGGTTGAGAACTTTGCAAAGGACATGGAAAACGTCTGCGCTGGACGTTCGGACAAGGAGCTCTCTCGAGCACTGATCACGGACTCACGGTCTACCGTGAAGTGGCTTGCAGAACATGGCATTCGTTTCCAGCTTTCTTTCAACCGACAGGCATATGAAGTCAACGGGAGGATCAAATTCTGGGGCGGGCTGTGTCTCAAGACCGAGGACGGAGGCAAGGGTCTCATCGCGGATCATCTAGCTGCGGCCAAAGCCAGTGGTGTGCTCCTCTCTTGGGGTACTGGGCTGAAAGGGGTCAAACGACAGACCGAGGGTGGGAAGCATCGCTATCTGGCTACGGTTGTTCACGAAGGAGTGGAGCAGGTCATTTCAGCAAATGCGATTGTATTCGCAGCAGGCGGCTTTGAGTCGAACCCACGGATGCGCAGTCAGTATCTTGGACCTGGGTGGGATATGGCAATGGTGCGCGGGACACCGTATAACATGGGAGACTGCATCGAGCTGGCTATTCGTGATCTCGACGCTTTGCCTGTAGGCAACTGGTCCGGGTGCCATGCTACATGTTGGGATGCAAATGCGGATCCGTCAGTCGGTGACCGCGAGGCATCCAACGAGCACACCAAGTCCGGATACCCCCTGGGCCTCATGATCAATGTCGAAGGAAATCGGTTCGTTGACGAAGGTGTTGCAATGAGAAACTACACGTATGCCAAGTTTGGCCGTGCCATCCTCCAACAGCCGGATCACGTCGCATTCCAGATTTGGGACGCCCGAACGACACCATGGTTACGATCTGAAGAGTATCGCCCGGAGAGACTCAAGGAAAATCGCTTCGAGGCGGCAACGATTGAAGAGCTCGCAGACATCTTATCTTCGAATGGACTCAAAGATCGTGAAAAGTTCCTCAGCACTTTGCACGAGTACAACTCTGTAGTATATGCGTTTCAGCAGGAAAACCCATCGGCAAAGTGGGATCCTTCTGTTCTGGACGGTGTTTCGACACAATCATCGACGAAGCAACTGCCATTGGCCAAGTCGAATTGGGCACTTCCTGTTGATAAGGGTCCGTTTCTTGCTGTCAAGGTGACTTGCGGGGTTACGTTCACATTTGGCGGACTCAAAGTGGACGCTGAGAATGCGCAGCTAATCAGTGCCACGACAAGGAAACCCATCCCAGGATTGTTTTGCGTTGGTGAGATGATGGGAGGCCTGTTTTACCAGAACTATCCAGGAGGTAGTGGGCTGACTTCGGGTGCTGTCTTTGGTCGGAGGGCAGGCAAAGCTGCCGCGGTGAGCGGCGGGGAGGTTTGATCGGCATTCATGAGCTTTGTTTCGCCATTCCATACATTACCTGGAAAATATATGAATACCTGCCCATGAGAAATGAAGCTTCTAATTTCCAGAAGCTCCCGTTGACATTTGGGTTTTGTCCATGGGAGTATGGCATGATGAAGAAGACCCTTGTTTGTTTACGTGGATGAGTACCTCCGAGTCTGTTCCTGTTTTCGAGGCCTCTGGATTCTTCTTTATGCAAGATTCGAATGGAAAGCTTTCATTAGGTATAATTACGCCATCTTTTCTCCGGACTGGAGCCAAGGGGACATCATTAAGCCAAATGTAGAAGGGGTGTCTGTCGTTACGCCAGTTCTTGCCTTTCGAGTGAGTGGGAGGCAGGCGCCTGACTTGATCCTTCCCCCATCAGATCGCACCTTCCTTCTTTTGCAGTTTCCTTTCCACACTTTGGCAGAAGCACCGCAAAATCTGGAAGGTGGCAGAACCTTCCCGCCTTCCGGTCCAGATCTTGGGCCTCTTCTGTCCAACTTCAACCTTTTCAACCCATCTCCATCGTCCCACACATGGCGTACTGATCTTCTTCGACTTCACGTCTCCCAGTGCATCCGATACAAGGCAAAGGCATTTTCAACATGGCCAAAGGAGAGGAGCGCCGTCTCACAGACGTGTCAATCTCGTGGACCGACGCTTCTGGCCAGCGCCTCCGACTTGAGCCGTCCAAGGACGTCAAGACTACACTCCTCCTACGAGAGGACCCCAAGACATGGGGTTGGATCCAGGTTACATTCCCAAGCACCGACAGCGCCCATGCCAGACGGAAGTCCAAGGGCATCAAGCCTCGCCTCCTCCCCACGCCTGGCCGCAATACCTTCATTGACTTGCTTCCTCCGAACATTGAAGGTACTGCCCTGTCTTCCCCTCCTCAAAAAGAACCATATCTAACCTCGGCAATCTAGTGTTCGCCACCACCTTTAAGCCCCGCGACGAGCCCGATTCTGTTCTCGTCGTCGATGTCACCCTGGAAGATCCCGATGTGGTCTGGATCAGAGCTCGAGATGCCGGCTCGGTTGCCCTCAACGATGCGCAGATGGAAGCCGTTCACCTCTCGAAGTTATTCCCCGAGACTTCCCGATTCAGGATTTCCGTTCCTTCCGACAAGAAGGTCAAAAAGCAAGACTGGGACTGGGATAAATACTTTGCTGATGACACAGCCAGAACGGCGTACAACTACGGCTTCGTTGTCGACAAGCGCCACCGCGGTGGGCTAAGAAAGCCTCGTCGAGAGGCCGATTGGAGAAATTATCACATGAGAGGACAGTCTCCGCGGCAGCCTATTCAATCCAGGCTGCCATTCAACGTCAAGAAAAGTGGCAAAGACGTCGAAATGGCTGGTGCCGCTGCCCCGAAGAAGAATAATCTCGAAGACAAAACTATCCGTCTGAGTGTCCCCGACGTCATGGAGGATGAAGGGGAGAATGAAGTCAACAACGAACATGACGTCTAGATTGAGAGAGAGGAATACGGCCAACGAGTCTATATTTCTATGGTATTTTCATCGCTAGTTGCGTGGCGTTTTGACTGCGGAAGATTGTGGCGGCGAAATGTTTCTCAAGAAAAAAGGTCTGGCGAATATTTCACAAGGCGTTGCTGGTAGAAATCGTGTTGCAAATCACGACTTTCGACATTTTCAGTCACTCCCATCTTGATAGTTAGGTAGAACACCACGTACCCAATTCAAGACATTCAAGACTAATCTTAGTCAAAAGGATGCATCCCTTTTTCCTCTCTCTGCCGCATTTTACAATCCTTGACAGCTGTGCAGAAGCACAACTGATATGTGCAGCATTGAACAGAACCTACACTTGCAAATTCTTCACATTGCTTGGACCTTGATAATTTGGCTGGTGGGAACGTATCAACCACGGCTCAAACACGCTGGGATCATTTACTGTCGGCATCCTCCTTGTCGTGCGTCTTTATCGTCGTACGTCCTCATCGTTTTCGCCCCTGCCCGGGATCCGGCCCTCCATTTTCCGCGAGGGCAAGAAATTACATTACGAGCTAGAGTCGCTCACGGTACAGCGCTGAAAGAAAGCGTTGTGTCTAAAAGATGGACGTCGCTCACCGTAAATGGAAGATCGCATTGATTGAAACCCAAATCCCTGCGAACTTGAGGACAGGGCGGTAAACTGCCCGCGCAGCGACATGGATGAATTGGTGTTATGTCTAAAAAGACAATAGTGCTAGTGGATTGCCCTTTTGGCCTGCCTACCTATGCAAACTTATTTGACTGAAGAAGCGGGATCGCTCTGGTACCTAGGATTGGCAGGAGCTGGATTTGTGGCGTTATAATCGTCTGGGATTCACTTCCAACCGAAGAAGAATAATTGCTTTGTCATCTCCATCAAGCTTCAAGTTTACTTTTTCGAGAAGCAAAAGTCCATGGTCACCAGACAACCCAGTCGGGTGTATCCGAGCTCGGGAGACCACCTCCATGAGCATCTAGGTAGGTATTTGCCTTTTCATCGGGACTTTTTGCCCGACGCGCATGATCCTGGCACTGGCAACCTGAACATTCCATTCCACCCGTCTATCATGGCTGTATTTAATTGCATCAACGATCGTTCGTCAGATCTGTTCCTTGTACAGGACTGCTCAGCTTCATTCAGGACTCGCCGTGTCCCGGGAATGGGATCTGTCGATCAGGTACGCCCGCCCGCCACCCGAGGGTCCCGCGGCCAGTTTAAGTGGGCTGAGCAAGGAGCAAAGAGCCAGAGATCAACTGGGGGCATGGTTCCTAGCGGGTAACCTGCATGAAACAGTCTAGAACAGATCTGGAAAGAGAAGGAGCAAACAATTGATTCGCAGGCGTTAGTTTGACGGGTCACAATCAATCTAGATGATGAGCTCATGAACTGCTTCACACATCTCGGGACTTCACGGGAACAGCTGGTCACCGGATGATCGACTGGTGTTTTGAGGGGTTTTGTGTAACACTGACAAGCTTGACAGCGGTCCTCTTTACGCGCCTGTTTAGACGACAAACCCGAGGAGAGTACATTCAGACGACACTCAGTCTGTTACGCTGGCGACATCTCGTGTCCACTTACTCGAATCTCGACATTGATCTACTCCGGCTGTTCAACTTACCCCGCCATTAGGATGTTGCAAATGAGAGCTCGGAAACCTTAATCCTTCAACATGCCCAAAGCAGTTTGACTCCAAAGCATGCGTGAACGACAAGCTTCAAAATATCGGCACCATTGATTGGGTTTCGCGCGAATTGTCAAATAAGCTTAAACTTTCATACTCCGTTCACCGGCCGCTAGCGGCGACACGGACGAAGATGGAGGCCGGCCCCATGCCTGATAGGGTATTCGAAGCCGCGAGTGGTGTGCTTTCGGATTCGTTTGCATTGAATCTAGATGATCTCACCCAATCCTGACACCATGTTTCCTTGTTTTCTCGGTTGGATTGGGTTGAATTTGGCCTCGAGAATCCCGTGCTGTCCCACTCCCGACTCCTCCAACCCCGCCGATCACGATCTGCTGCACCTCGAAAGAATATGGAGTCAGTTGCGTCATAGCTACCCGGTATATACTGTCAAAAGGTTCTCTGAAGGTCCAGACTACAGCGTCTTTTTGAACTTCGGGGATCCTGCTATTCTCATCATTCTTGTTTACCAAGGTTGTCACTAGTGTTTTACCAAGTCATTTTGCCATGCCACGCTCAAAAAGAATGTTTTTGAATCGACGATCAAATAGCGCCTTTAGCGGCCATGATATGTTCAAGCTAAACCACGAGGGAACGCGCCCTGCAATTGCGGGTGAATCTCAGTGGTTCATCACGATAATAATGAAAAGCTGTCTCGAACGCCAGTGCATGCACTAGTACAACAATTTGCTCCTTCGGTGACTTGGCCTTAAAATGACCTTACTCCAACAAATCTGTAGTCAATGATGTTACGTACACCATTTAGTGGGGTGTGAAAAAGACTACCTACTCGCACTTGCGGGAAGATGAGACAGCTGAAAGAGTCTGAATCTTCAGTTCAAGCCTGGAGCCTATACCAGGAGGACACGCAACGTGATTCAAATACAAGGGATCGCTACCGGGTGCACATGTGGGATCATTTACAATCGAGATTCTTCAACGGCAGTGACTTTCTGATTATGTCGGTTCCGGGGGGAAGGCATCGAGATTGAGAGACACGACATCCTTTTCCGGCCAGTACGTGCCCAATGTCGACCGACAGCGAGGCGCAGAAGGGAGATTCAGCTTAACGAACTGATGCGCCTAATCCTTCCTCGTCTTGAATTACTCCGAAAGCTTTCCAAAAAGCTGGGTTGTCGAAAAGCTTGTCGGAAAGTTAGACAAGATCCGACTTCAGATGAGGTCCAGCATCGTGCGATGGCCTCCATGTGGGAACATGAAAAGCTTCTTCGCGAAGGAGCAAGATAACCAACAGAAGCATCGCGGCTTCTCACCGCAGGGCATTTTTCTTCATATGGGGATCATTACGAGCATCCCTCGGGAAAGGCCCACATGCTGCCCATGAGTACCAAGAATATTAGTGAGCGTCCATCTTGAAGGTCAATCGCAAGATCTATATATTTCAGCTGTGGACGCCAGCTTCTCACACGTCTTCAAGCAAGTCGATCTTGACATTGTATCATCAAAGTACACTTACAATACCTACTTGCCTATCTCGCTTCGTATTCAGGCATAGCACCTTGTCACAACCCCCTCAATATGCATTACTCTCGTCTTTTTCTCTCTCTCTTCCTCCTCGTCACCTTGGTTGTTGCTGTGCCTCTACCAATGCCTTTAGATGGCTTGTTTGAGAGGTCCACCAACAGGAAGGGAGACGGTCTAAAGAATTCCAAGACTACGGCCAAGGGAATCCAGAAGAACATCCACATACAAAAGGACGAGCTGCACGAAGTCAAGGATGTCAGGAAGGCTGAAGGGACGAAGAACTTCCGCAAGGAACAGGGTGAGCTCAAAGCCGATATCAGGGCAGGACAGAGACAGCGCGAAAGAAACCAGCATACCGCCGATCCATCCAACAGGAAACTGGTCAAGGGCCTCAATAAGGTAATGCAACACCAGGAATCTGACGCTAGTGGGCAAATGTCGAGTTTTGAATACTTACTGTGTGCTCACAGGTCGAGAAAGCCCAAGCCTTGGAGTACAAACAAGCCTCGTCTCTAAACGGGGGGAGGAATGACAAGAAAACATTGAACAAGCTCAACCATGAGATTCACGACGGTATCAATGTGAACAAAGAGAACAAAAAGGCCGTAAGTGTTGCTGGCAATTTCTTCAATCAAGCAGGGTGCTGACAGGCGCCTACAGGCGCTGAGGGGCAATGATCGTCACGGCCACGGCCACTAAGCGCGCCAGGGCAGGATCGCGAACTGATGTGATGCAGAGCCTCGCATGGGATGGTTGCAGCTGGGATGAGCAAGGCGGACACAAAAACGTGTAGTTTAAAATTATCAGTTGAGTTCAGTACAGACGTGGCGTCAATGCACCATTAATGAATTTTGGGTTATCAATCTTGAGAAGGTCCGTGATGGGGATTCGGCATGACGAAGTATTTGGAGAAAACAATTGCAGCCAGAGAACGGGGTTTCAGAATCTCAATGGTGCCTGTGCATCCATACCGAACCATACGCTGTCAAAAGCATCAACAGCTCGTCATTTACCATTCTCCCGAGATATGCTTTGTATTTGGAGAAGGGATCCGTCTTCCAACGCATATTCCCAGCGGTAGTGGTATCATGAAGGACTGTGCCCTTCGTCCTGGAGGAGCTTCATGTTCCCGACGAAATCCGAGAAGCCGGGCTCCGAATGCCAAGCAGAAAATAGACTCAGTTCAAGCTTCATGTCAGTGGGGAGAATCAAGAGAGTTTGTTCAGGAGGCAAGATGATAGATAGGCAGCTGAGATTGGCTTTCACGGCAAGCTTTGTATCTGCAGAGCGCCTCAGGTCACCACTCCATCTCCGGACCTGTTGAGAAGGGAATAACCCACTTCGACAGCATGCCCCTGAGATTCCAGCATATTGGGAACCGCTTGTTGGACAACTCGACTCCAAACCAACTTCTGACATCGTCATAGGGATTCGCATAATATTCAGCATCGAGATCTAGACCACATGACTCCACCACTAGCCGACGCAATGCAAGAGTAAACTGCCAGCGTCGTCAGCCACTCGAGCCAATAGAGCAACGGGGAACTGGCTCGGCCAAGGTCACAGGTTCGAGCGCTGTCAACATGGATGCGAAGACAAATTTTAGAACCATGAGCTGGGGCCCAGAGCTGAACCAGTCAGTGCAGAAGTACCTGAGTACGGTTGCCGAGATTGTACTTCAGACGACTGCGCGAGATTTATGTTCCGAACAGCCACGATGTTTGACTGCAACTAGGTACACACCATGAACCTTGTCTTATTAGACTAGGCGGTAGTCACTCTGGGCATCCAGGATGCGAGAATGCATGAAGATGAGGCTCTGAAAACGTACTCAGATATTTTGGATCGCGAACCCTCGATCCACACTGTGTGCGGCTAAATGGCACCATGGAAACCGTAGAACCCAACGCTAACGTACCGCACATTCACATTCTTGGTCAATTGTTGAACCGCAACAATCACCCGTTGCGCGGGAAAGTGGCACGACGCATATCATTGAGCCTAAAGTTTCTGCCCTTGCCCTCTCCCCTCCTTCAGTCTCTGTACCCGTTTGAAGGCATTGGACAATGCCTTGTGCGTATTCTCGAAATAAATATGGCTGAACTCGCTGCTGGCCTGGCCTTTCATCGTGCGTGCTTGTATACCGTGACTGATGGTCCCAGAGCGAGCATAATGAAAGATTGCTGCAATCTCCCAGTCCTTTCCGCCGCTGTCATTGCGTGGATCGAAGCCAACGATCTCTGCGTAGCGATCCAGGAGCTCCGTTGGCTCTGGAATGCCTCTAGACCTTCGATGCTCTGGCCTAAGTGATTCAGGAGGGCCAGTTATTGACTGGCCGGGGGTGATATGGTCATCAAAGAATGGACTCGTAAAGTATACGAGGTCCATGAGCGGGTGCCCAATCGTCGATAGCTCCCAATCGAGGATCGCAATTACTTTTGGCTCGGAAGGGTGAAGTATCTACAACAAGCCAGAGCTGTAAGCGCTACTTCGTATCCAGAGAGGTGAGATCTTACTAAGTTGTCAAATTTGAAATCGCCATGGACGATGGCAAATCGTTCGCCGGGGAGGTTTTCTCTCACGTAGGACATGATATCATCATAATTTTCGTGAGCCCGCCCAAGAAGCTCACCCGTCTTCTTGTCCCTGACCGCAGCTTGTTGGGATTCTATACGGCTCCAAGTGTTGCAACGACGAGCGTAGAATCCAATCTTCTTGCCGTAGCCTTCCAGACCGATCGAATCCGGATCGAGCGAGTGAAGCCAGGCTAGTGTCTCTATTGCGGAAAACCAGCTTTTTCATCTCGTTAACCTGTGATGGCAGGTGCTGAGATTGCAGGGACTCACGCTTTGCGCCTGTCGGATGGTGAAAGCTCTGCCAAACTGGCGTCGGTGATAATCCTTCCTTTCACAAACTCCATCACCTACACGTCTCACATGATTAGTCTGAAGTATCTGAGCTGATGGGTTTCTAACGCACGTAGAACGAGGTTCCTATGACCGATTCCTCAGTGCACAGGATGAACACCCGTGGCACGGGAAAGTTGGGAACAGAACCAAGGGCTTCAAGAACCCTAAACTCGCGGTCCACTTGATGTGCTACTGGACTAATCGTCTGACCCTGAGGTTTCTTTCTCAAGATGAACCTTGCGCCGCTGTTCCGCGTAGAAAAGGCGTTTACTGTTAGCGTGCTATGACCATGATAAGGATAGGCAGAAAGCCTTTCAGATCTCAGACTAACACTGCATCATCAAGAAAGTAGGTTGGATTGCTCTGGCCATATCCAATCTTGGTTGTGGTGATCGGTAGCTGAAGACCCGGTATCGTTCCTGACTTACGGAGGTATTCTCCTAGGGCCTCGTTGTCGACATCATAGTGTGAACCGGAAGAAGACATGGCGTTGATGAGAGTCAGCTGCTTGAATCAAAGGACAGATGATAGATGCAAGTAAATCCCAAGGCTTTGCTCGAATACCTGACCCTCCCGGGTTGTTGAGAAGGCGAAATGCCGGGATACGGAGATGCGGGGATGTGGGGATGCCGTAATGCGGGGTTTTGAACAAGCCGAGGGCCCTCGGGTGCCGACGTCAGCGATCTTCATCTGCTGAGTCGAGAATCACAGACGTCCACGCTCCGAATTCCAAAGGTTTGTAATACTGATCCCCAAAAGATACCAAACCTCAACACGATCACGGTGTTTCGAAAACGGTTCCAGCACATGTTTTGCAATGATCAACTAGGATCTCGCAGTGCAACCTAGTCAACTGCTCGTCATGAACTTCGAACTTCCACAGGATGTGCGAGATTACCTAAAACAACTTGACGCTTTCATTAACGACGCCATTCTTCCGTTACAACACGAAAATGACAACAATCGCTTCTTCGACCATTGTCGCGAGGCCTCACGTACTCAATGGAACAACCAAGGCTTGCCGACTGAGGACTGGGAGGCGTTACTCGACAAAGCCAAGAGGATCGCCGACAAGGCAGGATTTTATCGCTTTGCCTGTCCGAAGGAATATGGCGGCTCAGGTGTCGAAACTCTGAATTTGTACATGTGTGCCGTGCGATATCATCTCGCATCTCACCCTGTATATGGGGGAGGCGTGAGCCTGGCAAACGACCTTCAAAGCGAGCATAGCATCGTCGGCAACATGCCATTCATTATTATGTTACACCATTATGGTACTGCGCAACAGAAGAAGGAACTGATTCCCGCGAGCATTAGAGGCGAGTTGAGGGCGACTTTCGGACTCACCGAAATTCATCACGGCTCTGATGCTACGCACATGGACACGACAGCCCATGCTTCCAAACTTCCAAGTGGCGAACCGGGATTCATGATCAATGGCAACAAGAAGTGGCAAACAGGGATGCATACCGCAAACCACTGTCTGGTCTTCGCGCGAACCTCCGGCAAGGCTGGGGATGCGCGGGGCATCACAGCTTTTCTAGTACCTCGCGCAACACCCGGAGTTACCGTCGCCTCCTTCGAGTGGACCTTAAATATGCCCACCGACCATGCCACGGTGATATTCGAGAACGTTCTAGTACCGGCAACATGCATTCTTGGGCCACTTGACAACGGCCTGGCGATCGCGCAGACCTTCACCCACGAGAACAGGATCCGGCAGGCAGCGTCAAGTTGCGGGGCTGCGCGATACTGCATTGATCGGAGCGTTGAACACGCAAAGCGCCGAAAGGTTTTCGGGAAGCCCTTATCGGCCAACCAAGCTATTCAGTGGCCCCTCGTGGAACTCTCAACCCAAGCGGAGATGCTCAGGCTTCTCATTCTGCGGACGGCAGTGGAGATGGATCAAGTCAGCGCCGAGGCCACGGCGGCAGGCAAGGCGCCTTGGGCTGCCATCGAAACACAGCTCGGTCACAAGATTGCAATGTGCAACTACATTGCGAATCGTTTGGCGTGCGACTCAGCCGATCGGGCCATCCAGATTCATGGCGGGGATGGATATTCGCGACATTTGCCCTTCGAACACATATGGAGGCATTTCAGACGATACCGAATCACCGAAGGAAGCGAAGAAGTTCAAATGCGGAAGGTGGCAGCTTATTTGTTCGGCTACAAGACGGCAAGTCCAGATGATGGGAGTAAGGGGGGACCAAAGTTGTGAAATGTGGACGAAGGTTAGGGCCGCTATTCAGAATACACTCATAGTTCGTCAAGTATCTGGCTATCTCATGCAAATCTTTGTGTTTTCTTTGCATATCTGCCTCGACAACGTCCAGCGCAAGAAAAAACAACTTGAAAGCTGGCCAGCTGTTCGTTTTACCACCCATCATCCTGAGATTGTCATATTGTCAATGCGAAGACATCGTCAGCGCACCGGGGTACTCCGCATACGAAGACCCTAATTTCTCGATATCGATTCATTCCAGTAACCCCTGCTGGAAACCTCATACTGCGTATTCCAGTTAAAGAGTCGGGTCTGGGCTTGCTCAGGTGTCACCCCTTGCGAGGGCCCGGCCAGCCCCTGTTTGCCGCAGCCATCGCAGTCGCGTTATTCAACATACCTTAAGTACAACGTCGACTTCCTTTTAAGCCCAAAGCTCTACTCTGGCCAAGCCAAACATCGAGAAGCCCTGCATCTTCATCCGGTGTAGCCAAGTATGTCTGACCGCTGCTAAGGTCCGCTGGACATCCTTCGCTACCCTCACTAGTCCGCTTGCCAGTCTTCTGCCGACAATCGTGGTACTTGCTGCGGCAAATTGCAGAATGTTCGACTCAACTACCAGGCCGGCGAGTCCACATGCCAGGTCTGCTTGTAGGACTCTATCAGCAGCTGGTGTGTCCTCGTCTACGGTGAGCCGCGTTGGTTTCCCACGATTTACTGACGGTTCTCTAGGTCACAGAACATGTAGAGATTGCTTCGCCAGCATCTCCCACTGCCATCTTCGTGAATTTCCGACTCGCAAAGGGAGTTTCTAGGTCGAAATGTCACTGCGCCCGACGCGCAACTTGCCCCGACATCGCAGGAGGTCGTTTGAATGATTTGCATTGGATAAGCATGGCAGATTTGAAGATTGATTTTGCTATGAACCTCATATATAAACGAAGATCCGTCCATTGAATTCTTATAGGAACATGAGACATGACGTAGTCTTCAAGTTTCCCTAGCATTTTGCATTTTGCTGGCACACTACACGTATCAAACTTTTGCCCATCGAAATACAATTTTTAACGTGGAAAAGCGATCGCATTATAATACCAAAGCAAAATTAGTTTATTTCATAGACTCCCTGGGCCAAAAGGTCATTCAACCCGTGATCAGATGCCAACGAGACGTAGCTTTCCGGATCATCGTCATTGAGCACATCGGGGGCTGTATGCCAATGCGATGCGGTTGAGACGGTCTCTCTTGCACCAGTTGAGCTTCGCCTCGACAGCAGGTGCCTTTCCTATCATTGCGAGCCACCTTCCTCCTTTCATCTCCAGCTTGGCCCTTCTTCGCTCGGATCATCTTACTTGGGAGCTCTTTCTCGGCATCGCCTGTGGCTGGTGCCTATGCCTGCTTTCTAAGTGCGCCTGCCCTCCTACCTCAAGTCCTACTGAGCAAGTGCGATAGATATAGCTACCCTTACCTTATTGAGCACTTTGCTCAAGCTAAAGGTGACAGTAGCTGTTTGAACGTGGAGGGCAGTTACAACGTAGAGAGCGCAGGAAGATGACAATTGCGTATGGCAGGCGCCTACCTTGCCGCACGCAAGCCACACGAGGGTGCCGAGAAGGGGGGAGAAACAAGGGGCCCCTCTTCCTTCACCAGCATTCGTCCTTCCTTCATCTCCCGCCAATTCAAAACCAACGACTTCATGATCACAAACATTGCTTCATCAGACCGCGCATTCTATAATTCTTTGACGAGTCGCACAACTGAGAGAAATAAGGTACCAACAGCCATCTACCATAGTCCAGCCTCTTCCAAGCGAGACACCATGTGCGGTAGGACCAGGCACATCTGGGTGTGTCCCTGCGCAAACTTCATCACCGCCGCAAATTCTTGCCCTCGCGGAAGAGCGGAAGACATGATCAGCGGCCATCTCGTTTCTACAACAGTCAATGCAGTCTTTCAATACTGCAACGCCTGGTTCACCTTTCAACCCTGGGAAATCGTCGTCTCGTCTCATATCACACCCAACATGGTTTGCCCTTGGTTTTACTGGCAACACGAAACGCATACTCGCAAGATGTGCACCGACTGCCTCCGCGCACAATGCCGGAACTTGGACACTGGGGACATAGCCGATTCGACAGGGGGGAACTAATCAGGCTACGGAAAGACTACACGGTTTGGTATTCATCCCATACCAAGTTCGAAGCAGAGGTTGGAGATACGGATGCAGACAGACGAACACTGCGTGGCCTAGTGTTCGTTCCACATATTTTCCCGGGGCATCGATTGGAGCTTTGAAAGATGCAATGGGACTCACTTTTTTGATAGCGGAGTATTATTGCGACAAAGAAGCGTATATGGTATGAATGACCAGCAACGAAATTAGAAGATACATCCACGCGGTGACGGCGTGGCACCAGCATTTCTGTCAGATCAAATCGGTGACACCTTCTTCGCCTTGAATTCTTTGCCTCCGTTTTCTCCCCCTTCGTCGACTTTCCTTACTTCAAAATACCAGCGTGAAATAAAAGCCTGTTCATCTTGTATTGCAATCTCTACAGCAAATGTTCGACTAGAAAATTGTCTCAAGATTCAAAGCACAAAATATTAGGATTTTATCCCCACAGTCCAGCCTTTGGGCTTCGATAGTCTCTTATCCTTTGAATTCCTTTCGGCAACGCAATTGATCTCTCGCCAGGCCTGCAAGCAACATCGGGTGCCTTCATGTTGACGGGCGCCGCTCAGTTGTTGTCTTAACCAGTTCATATCTTCCGCAAGAAGGTAAGAGCCTTGAAAATCTGATCTGTTGCAGCCTTTGTCTCAAATATCAAATGTGATGGTGTGGGAGTCTGATAGAAACCAAATGGGAGTTGATTCGCACATTTCGTTTTGGGATACGCGAGCTTGCAGAACAAAGAGTCGCTACCGTAAACATCTGTAGTCCTCAAGCCAAGCCTCGGATACAGGGCACAATGAAGAAATCCCGTAACTTATCGCATATTCACTGATTGTTATGCAAGGTCAGGTGTTGGCATCGCATCTCCGTACCAGGCTGCGTTTTCCAGTCTCAGAGTGAACGGCACTCGCCACGAACAGTCCGTGGAGCTTTCTGACCCTAAAAGTGGGGTCGCGGGGCCCATTGAAGACTCACTGGATGCATCACTGGTCTGTCGATACATGCGGAAGGTGATGCGTTGCGCATCCAGGGGCCTGCAGAATCGCTCGGTGTCGAGCCAGGTTCGACACCCCACTCCAGGCCGCGTTTTCCAATCCCGGTGTAAAATGTGGCCATCAACAAAATGGTTGCTGCCCATATTGGGTATGATAAACATGCAGGCATCGTAGTTGCCCCCGGTTGGCTGTCTTTCTATTCGCGCGCGGAATCTCGCGTGCCCACCGGACAACACAAGAACATGGGTGTTTTATGCACGTTGGTGCACGAAGGCGACGCCGCATCAGCCAAAAAGAGGGACCCCGGAGGCAGAGACCGCCCCCGCAACACCGAAGATATATCAGTCCACCCACGTTGTCTTTCTGTCACTTTTCGGTGTCATTTTTCTTTATCCCTTTATTCTCGAAGCTTTGTTTCCGCATTGAAACCCCGCCAATAAGATCATCATGGCTAATCCCCCGCAAGATTTCGAGGTTCAGGTCGCTGCTGACGAGGAGGTTTGTTCACACGCTGTGCACTTATGTCATGCTTGTCTAAGTAATTATGTACAGCCGCAAGATGACACCCGTTCTGAGATGGGATCCGTAAGCCCGGCCTTCTCAACAACTATTGATTGCTATAGAAGCTCACATCTTCCGTGACAGAGCATCGCGTCCTCTAGCACCAGCTTGCGCAGTTCTCTGTTGGACTATCGGCGCGAGAACGGCCGAACTTATCATCGGTACAAAGATGGCAGTAGGTTAATGTGATAAGCATGAAAAAGATTGCCGGCTTAAATTATGCGACAGAATACAACATGCCGAACGACGAACGAGAGCTTGACAGAATGGGTACTCTCCGACGCTATCCCCAATCGTCTTTCAAGCTAACCAGCGCCGTAGACTTGGTGCACCACATGTGCCTGCTCACTCTAGATGACCGTCTCGGAATCGCCCCACCCTGCCGCGAAGATGCCAAGGTTGGTCGGGTTCTCGACGTCGGCACAGGCACGGGCATTTGGGCAATCCAATTCGGAGACGACCATCCGGAAGCTGATATCTTGGGTGTTGACCTCTCTGCAACTCAGCCGAGCGAGTAGGTGTTCAGCGAGCTCAAATTTTGGTGAACAATTGCTGATGATATCTTCCAAGCGTACCTCCTAACGTCAGGTTTGAGATTGACGATATCGAGGACGTGTGGACATTCTCGCAGCCATTTCAGTATATCCACAGCCGATTTATGAGCTCCAGCATCGGCGACTGGAGACTTTTCCTCCAAAGATGCTACGAGTAAGTCCCCCTCAATGCCAACTGAAAGAGTGAAAAGCTATGATTGTAGCTAACCCGTACGGAAATCAGCAACCTGGAGCCTGGTGGCTACGTGGAGCTTCAAGAGACCGCCATCGTCGCCAAGTCTGATGACGACACATTGAAGCCCGAGCATGCCCTGTCCAAGTGGTCAAACTATCTCGTGGAGGCGTCTATGAAGCTCGGCGCCGCGTGGGTCGATACTCCGGAGCTAAGGCAGCTCATGGTTGATATTGGCTTCGAAGATGTAGCGTTGAGCACGTATAAGTGGCCGACTAACCCTTGGCCAAAGGACCCGCACTTTAAGGAGCTTGGTATGTGGAATAACGAGGCTTTGATGACTGGTTTGGAGGCGATTACAATGGCACCCATGACGCGTGCGTTGGAGTGGCTCCCTGAGGAGGTCAGAGTGTTCCTCATTGATGTCCGTAAGGAAGGAAACGACCGGAACATTCACGCATACTGGCCCCAGTAAGTTTTACGAAATTCCAAGTTCGCAGCTCATTTTTTAACACATCCAGATACATTCTCGTTGGTAGGAAACCCTTGAGGGAAACCCCGGCTCCGGCTCCAGCCCCAGAGGCGTCCCCAGCTGCGGCATCTTCTCCAGCAGCGGCTCATTCCACGCCTACGGCTTAAGCACCGGGCTGGGTTGATTGAACATGTGTGCCTGGGATCACCTGTCCTTGGGTGTTCGGTTACGACAGTTTCAAATCATGATGGGAGATAGAAGCTGATTCCGCATGCAAGTTCAACGGTGAAGCGTAAGTAGTGTGCGCATTGCAAAAGTATTGAGTATATTGACGATGAACCTCTCTTGAACTGATCCCCTATCTGATATCCATCCCTACGACGTCGCTCCTCGGTAGCATCCCTTCTCTAGCATCAATGGCGTGCCCCATCTTCAATTCGCTGTGCAGCCTCACATCCTGCTCACCGTGCAGTTAGTACACGCGCAGTCTGCTATCCGTGCCTTCTCGTCTTCCAAATACCTTAGACTCAATCTGCGTCGCAGTTGAATGTGGTTCCACCGTTGGCGCAGCCCGTGTTGCGCGACTTGCAGTGCATTCCGTCCGGTTTGACATTAGCAGCGCAGCAGAAGTCACATGCGGTGCCTTGGACTAAAGCGCCGCAGTTCTTTGGTTGGTCGCAGTGTCGTTTAACAAGGGGAGACGATTCGAATTGTGATGGCATCGCAACCGCCAGCGGTAGCAGAGCGAGGAGGTATCGGATCGCAACCATTGTGAATTGTGCAAATTAATATGGCTTCCCGCGAGTGATTATGGGCAAAGACTGGTTGAGCACAAGTTGATCTTGTTGAAAATTCAATTGCGTGTGGATGCTTTGCCCAAGCCTTTATGTATGCACAGGAACAACCGTGTCTCATTGAACATCGTAGGGCGCGATGCTGCTTGTCATCCCTAGAAAAAGTTTCACTCATTGTAGGTTAAGCTTCTGCGCTCAATTGTCACAAGGGTAAATCTTCCGCCCATTTCGTGATCTAGTGGTGAGGGGGAACGGGAGCCGGGAGGATCACTCGCGGTCAACGCCAGGGGTGCGGGCCCTAGATGAGCAGAAAAGAGACTATTATGCTTTCCAATCACCTGCATTCCACGAGACGGTAGCAGAAACGTGCTCGCGGCTAATGTAGGTACGCTGCCTTCTCGCCGTGAAGAGAGGTCGGTAGTCTCCACAATGTGCATATACAGAGTTTCCGTCCGATGATAGACTGTAGAGGGACTTTGAGAAGGTTCGTGAGGAGTTGCTGTCTTGAGCTGGTTTGGGGTCACCGAGGGCATTTTCGTCCGATGAGATGACGCGTTGGTCGCATCGGCTCTGAGTGCCTTCCGTGAGCTTGGAAAGGTTGATCTACGCTCGGGAGGGCTAGCTAGTGAACTGCGACCTTGGCTGCCGCACGTTGAGATGTCGTCTGGAGTTGGGGGTTCCTTGTCATTGTTTTCAGAGCTAGGTGAGATAAGGATAAGTGCCTGTGTCATGTCCGCATTCCCCAAGGTGAGAGTGTTTCGGTGGACTAAGCTTCGATCTAGAACGAGACTCCCGTTTTCGCATCGGAGTGGCCCCCAGGTTTGCCTCCGGGAACTTTGATGGGTGGATTCAGTGGGATAGCGGGCGTATCGCGACTGGACGATGCTGCGAGTCGGTTTCGGTTCACGACTTGGCACCGCTATCCGGCCGATTGGGTACCGGGGCCGAGAGTGGTCGTATGCTAGACGAGGCAGTCATGATTACCGGTCGAATGATGCCGTTGTGGGTGTAGTTGCCGACGGTACGATACCATCGGGTGGTCGTGCTACTGCATTATGCTGCCCTCGATCACAAGCTGGATAACAGACCTACACACGTCTCATATACCGCAGTTTAGCACGGAACTTTCCCTGCGGAGAGTGTTTCCTCAGCAAGCCCTTTCTTATGGTTGACGTTGACTACCGCGCGTCACCGGACAGGTTCGGATGCCGACTCGGACGGACTTTTCAAGATTCCTTGTGATGCAAATATCTTCCAACATGGGTTGATAAACACTCCGTAGTTTAATTATCAAATGTACTTTACAGTACTTAAGATTTATTCCTGCAAAGTAATGCTCTAAAGTCCCACGACGCCGTCCAGTGTGCTGTAACAGTAAGGAAATAATCTATCTATGGTACAAGGAATGATACAACTGCTTATGCTCTTCCGTTGGGGTGAACAAACTCAAACTCTTTGTATGGAGTCTTGACTAACTCTTTCTCGACCCAAGCCGCTATGCTATCGACAGCATCTTGGGGGCTGTCCAAGTGTGATTGAAAGAAACCCTGCAACAGTGAGGGCGTAAATGTGTTGTCTGGTACGTGGCTGGCGAATTTGCCAGCCAAGGTGCGAATCTCATCCATATCCAGGAGCGACGTGCTGCCCAGGTCGGGCGAGAACATGCGCACAAACATCTCTTCGGCAGACTTCTGGCTGATGTTGCCGAGGAGAACTTTCATGTCCACTCGTCCCGGGCGGACTAGCGCACTGTCGAGTTGTTCGGGTCGATTGGTCGTCATGATGACGATGCGACCTTCTTGTGATCCGACACCATCCAAGACGTTCAGGAGGCCTGAAAGCGTGCAGTTCTGCGAGTGGTTGCTATCAGGAGAGTGAGATCGGCCGCTTCCGCTTGTGCTTTGTTGGTTGGCGCGGTCGACCCAGACGGCGTCAATGTCTTCGAGAAGAACGACGCAGCGCGGTGGGATCTCTTGGAACATCTGCTCAAGATCTGCGTCCGTTGCAACACTGGGTACCTTGACTTCATAGAGATCTAGACCAAACTCGCCGGCGATGGCCACTGACAGTGAAGACTTTCCAGTCCCAGGGGGGCCGTAGAAGAGATATCCTCTGCGGTAGGGCATGCTGCGGCTCTGGTATCTCATCTGCGTCTTGGGGTCGAGGTAATTCCGTATATCGGCCAAAAGATCTTGCTTGACTTCATTGTCAAAGTGCACGGTATCCAGATGACGCAAGGGTTTCCGGGCTTTCGGCTTCCAAGCCAGACCATAGCGATCCCGGGAGTAGATGATGACGAAGTACTGAGTCTGTCTGTCCGCATACTCGCGGCACGTCTCGATGAATTTTTGCACCGGCTCAGCAGACCATCCGAAGCAGCTGATGGTCAGTTCCTCGCCGCCAATGCCGTCGTAACTCGGGTCGGATAACGAAGAACTGAAGTCTCCAGCCGCGCGTGTGACGACAAGCAGATTTCTCTCATACCAGAGCCAACGCGTGTCCCAATGCGGAGAATACTGCACGGCATGCTTCGTCTTCTTCAGCGCAGCAGCTCGATCGGCGCCTCCACGACCGACCTCGGTACGGCCGGTGAAGGATCGGTAATGTTGAGGCCGGTTGGCAAAAACCCATTTCACGACGCTGCGGTTGACCGGATCACCTCCGGGAATTGTGACGGAAGCAAGGAAGAAACGACGGATGCAGCCATAGACTTCGCGCCAGGCGTGCTGCAGGAACCGCCAGGCCGTCGGGATAGTCCCCGCGATGGCGATGAGGGATCCGATTTGCGTGATGTCGAGCTCGGACCACCGGGAGAAGACATCTCTCATGACGCCGACGCCGTGAACCCATGGATCCAGGAGGGCGTGGCTTGCGCCGCCGACGTGGAACTGATGGGACATGGCGCCGTATGACTCGGCCTAGGGAGGGTTGAACGTCCAATAGGCCGGCGAAGGGCCGGCTGCCGCCCCGGGCAGGGGTGCCGAGGTTCGGAGGCTCGGGGGCTAGAGCGCGTTGTTTATGCCTTGATGTGCCGGCCCCGGCGGAGATGAATGCAAGGAAATTGGGTGCAAGAGACGGAAAAGGGCGAAAACTAATGCATTGTGGATGAAAGGAATGACAGGAAAGGGAAGTAAAGGGGTGTACAGGGCGTCAGGACGTCAGCAATGAGCTCAACGTGTAAACATTTCTCAGGGACTCAGAAAGGTTTTTCGGTAATCTCTAGGCGAGCCACAAAACTTGAGCCACTTACTTTATCAGCCACATCGCTTCCAAGGTTCACTGTCGATAAGATAAGATGAGAGCTCTGAGAGGGTAGACGGCCCGAGATAGTCCGAGAAAGATCAGCTATCTCAGGCCCCGAGGTCCCTTGATCCTTGTGATTTTCTCGGAACTTCGGGGAGTTTGGGGGTGAATTTTCCCCCTTCCCGTTCCCACTCGTGGACCAACCCCTTTCTCATCCTCTGCCTTGATTTTCGCTGGCTACTGAGTAAGAATCCGGGTAAATCTGAAGACGCAGTTTCTTTTTTCGATAACTGGCAACTGTGACGTCTTGCTGCCAGTTACGCCAACTTTGCAAGATATCGCCCTCCCCAAGTTGAATGTTTTTTATCTACATGACTTTGGAAATGATCTATGTGATGGCCTTCTGACGCACGCACTATTTTGAGCCGCCCGCGCCTATCTCTGCTACCCCGGCACCATCCTGGCACATTTTATGTAAGCGTAACCGCAGCCCGTCTCAGCTAAACATTTGCAGATCATAGCTCGGCAAGTCAACTCTAAACTCAATCCACATTCACGGATCACGCAAATCTTTGAACTTGGAACGAAATGTTTGGTGATGCTGAAAAAGTGCATGTACTATTTTGGTTGCTCGGCCGGCCTCTCAGAGCCGCCTCGCGGCACCCCGGCGCCAAAGGCCAGAGGTGCACAGCTCCGAACTATGATACAAAGAAGTTTATGTTTGACATGGCATATGTACGCTGTTTTTTTCTGTCTTTCGTGGACTGGTTCCGACGACTCCAATTTACTGGACGAAGCGGGACTTTGAAGCCCAGCCGAAGGCCTCAACCTCGCGCTTGGACATGGCCTTGACGCTCTCGGCGTAGTCGCTGGTGCCGTGGGAGGGGTCGGCGTCGGTGGCCTTGCAGGTGGCACCGGCGTTGTAGTTGCCAAGCTTGCCGTTGACGGCGGAGAACTTCTGCTTCTCGTTGGTGGTGGCGATCATGTTGGTAGCGGCCTCCTCAGTCCAGCCGTTGATGAAGTCACCGTGGGAGCACCAGGCGGGACCGCAGGCAAGCTTGAAGGGAGCAGTGCCGGACCAGCCGTCGGGGAGGACCTTGCGGAGGTCGTAGCGGATGGAGAAGCGCAGCTGAGGCATGGACTTCATGCCGCTGGGGCAGGAGCCTCCGCGCTTGGTCTTGTAGCCGGTCTCGAGGGTGTCGACGTTGACGCACTGGGGGAAGTAGAGGAGCTGCTGCAGGTGGGTGCCACAAGTCGAGCTGGGGAAACCGTTGGCGTCGAGGGAGCCGCCGCCGCCGTTCTCGCAGGCCCATGAGACCTGGGCATCGGCGGGCATGGCAGACTCGGTCATGGCGGTAGCATCACCGGCGACCATCTGCAGGTTCTGGGGAATGGCGACCTCAGCGGGGGTCTCGCCGAGGTTGTAGTAGGCGCTGAAGCGCGAGACGGGCATGGGCTCGTAGGTCTTGCCGCCGTCGGTGGTGTAGAGCGGCGTGGGGATCCAGTAGACGGAGAGATCGTTGGGGTTCTCGGCGTTGGTGCAGCCCTTCTGGAGCTCGGCGCTGGTCTTGGTGTTGATGGTGACGGCGTCGGAGCCGAAGAAAGAGTGCAAATGAGACTTGTCGTACTGGCCCGGGAAGACGATGGGGTCAATGTTCTTGGTCATGAAGGGAGTGGCGACGTTGACCTGGGTGTAGGCCTGAGCCACACCGGCGAGCAGGCCGGTGGCGAAAAGAATGGAAGAGGACATCCTGTGTCTTGTGAAGTGAATGAACGAACGTTGGATTAGACGAAAACGAGAGAACGGAGGCCGACGGTCAACCTAAATGAATGAAATGGAAGCTGGAGAACAAGAGAACTGGAGTCATGATAAGAGTTGGATGAGATTTCACCTTAAGTACTCAATCAACGATGTTATGCTATTGCCTACCTACACGCACAGAGGAGAATATGTGATCCAACCCCTTCTCCTCATTAATTTCCGTCCACGTTTCGCGCCTTCGTTGAGAACAGGGATGCTTCCGAGTGGGAACGGCGGGAAGCAGCGGAGAATTCGGACAAGGGCAGCACCACAATTGATCCGATGGCAGGTTCACGTTGATTGGACAAACTTAGTAGAGCAGCAGTGAAGACACTAGTGTCCGGGCTACTCCGCCATGTCCGCTTTAGGAGTTGCGAAACAAGAAACCGTCGAACGGCCTATGGATCTGGCCCCTTAATCAATCTGACAAGAAGCGTAACTGTGTTTGTCTTTTCGGAACCGCCAAGATCGGTTGACATGCTCTCGGTAGCGGACATTTTGCTTTGTTTGACCTGCCAAGAGTGGGCACACTTCCGTATTCACTCGACCTGGTTGGAATTGTTTGCAGATGCCCCCTGTTTCCCGTATGGCCCCAGTTCCTATTAGAGGGCAGTGATCCAAGGCGGCTGAGACGGATCGAGCAGCGCTTAAATATCCGTCTGGTCCATTTCGCCTTGGTCGGCGCCCTAGTTATGGGGTTCCAATGGCCTGAGAGGTTGCGGTAGGCGCCGGGGTTGCATCTCGTCTGATCCTAATTGCGCCGTTGGCTGCACTCACCACCTGCAGCCCCGTGCACCGCCGTCGAGACGAACATCGGCTCCGAGGGTGCATGACTGCAAATCTCGCCAGGGGTTGTGATAAGCCATGCAAAATGCTGCCCATACGTCATAGACACAATGTTTCGAGTAGATGCAAGCGCAGCCGAGACGGGGACATTCCGACCATATGCTTGAATGGGCGGTAAGAATGATCTTCATCTAGGTAGGGAAGGGTAACGGCACAACCGACCGGCCTCGGAGGAGCCCTTGACCTTTGATGCGGCTACAACTTTTTGAGGCTTAGTCGGCTAAAACATGCGAAAGCGAAATTCCATCTGGTCGGGTCCATACGATCGGTCCAGCCTGTAGCGTAATGAGAAGGACCAGCGCACTCGTCAAAAAGCGTCTAGCGTGCTAGGATCGGGATGTGGTGCTGTGCCGTCCCGTTGGTCTTCTGCGCGCGTAGTGAACTCAACGGAACATAGAGGGCGCAGTGGGCTTTTCCTTCTAGAACTTTGTTAGTAGCGCATTCAATGCAGTGAGCAACTTCAACACAGGTTCCCCATGCGCAAGAAAAATATCGAAAGCAAAGTGTCCTTCCAAATGATGGTTGCGGAAGCAAGTTCCCAGCGCTTCTCTATGTGGCTTAGGAAGTCTCTGCTCCCACCGGCGGCGTGTTCTCAATTTTTGTTGAAGCGAAGCATCAGATAGATTGTCGACAGGGGCCCCTGGTCAATGCGGCTTTGACTTTGACGTTCTGGACTGATAGGGATGAACTCCTCGAACCCATCGAACCTATTCGTGCACGATCGAATTTTCTGTGATCGTACGTGTACAGTCTTGGCTTTTGGGCCGATCAACTAGGGTTGGGATGGCCAATATTCGGCTCTAGTTGACTCTACATGGTGGGCATTCATCTCGTGTAAGCTTATCGGATGTTGTCCGCTAAGGTTTCTATTGTTCAGATCTCGGGAAGTGGCTGCTGTGCTTGGAAAACTAATGCCGAGGCAATCTCCTGTAGTGTTTTACAGATACAATGTTGTAAAGATGGCCACATTGCGAGATGGAGTTCGTAATTGATCTGCGGTTCCATGTGGGCAAAGAGGAAAACATAGTCGTCATCCACTTACCGAAAGTCCAAGGCATGCTTTTCAAGGGGGAATGAAGGCCAAAAAGGGAGAATGGCCTTGGTATTTTGAGACTTCAATGGCAGATCGCCTCCCTCTTGCGAAGCCGCATCTAGTTGAATCCAATACCTAGCTCAGTATTCTAACGACCTAGTGTGTCGTTGGTTATCTACGGAGTGTCAAGTTAGCTTGAGATTTCCGCGCCATGGGTCATGCTTAACATCGACTGACGCGTCACCACTTAAGCTTATCCCCGCGTTCGGCCTCAGAGTCCGAACATTTCTGTTACCAATAGGCGAGAAATACTAAGGTGGTACATTTGTCTAAATGATCCCCAATCAAGCAACATACGTGATCTCTGCTTAAACCCCAGCAGTCTACAAAACCAAATATGATGCGCCGTTGATGATTGCCCAGCCACATTTGGGTATTGCGCTCCTTTTGTTCTCCAAAAGCAACCCGAACCATATGGCCAATATTCTAAATCACTGCCCAAATGTTGCGGTTCAACCTCAGCCGAGCGACCACGAGAATCACGGCGCCAAGAACGAGCGTTGCGCCTGTCCACATAGATAATGCCAGGTATCCTGAATGACTGAGAATTTGGCCGCTGATTGGTGGGCCAACAAGTGCACTGGATATCCAAAAATCAGCATTTACGAAAGATCTGAGGCGTTGAAGAATAGCTCACGTCACCGATATGGATCCCATCATGAACCCGACCGCGAGACCTTGGCTTCGGTGGTGGGCAATCTTGCCGACACATGCTCCTTGTAAACTCATGACAGCCTGGCGATCAACGAGTCAGTGAATCTGCCGGAAACTTCCAATAGGGAATACCATACGCCGGAGAAAAAGCCATACGCCAAACTCCACACGGCCAGGCCGCCGAGAGTCGTGGCGGCCGTCCAGCAAAACCCGACAATTCCGGCAGAAAGAGTTGCGACCGCGCACATATTGAAATGTCCGTAACGATCTGCAATGAGGCCCGGAATGACTCTGCCAAAGAAAGAGGCGGCATTGAGTCCGGATAGCAGATAAAAGGCAGTGGAGGAAGTCAATCCCTGGGCGATGCCGAAGGCCGATACGTAAAAGAGAGGTGTGAAAAGACCAAAGTACCCAATTGCAAGCCCGCCGCACAAGAGCATGAAAGACTTGTTCTTGAGAACGGAAAAATCCGTTTGCTTTTCAGATTGTGTGTCGTTGGCCATAGCCTGGTCAGCTTTTTCGTTGCTATCGGATGCGGGCTCAGAGGGAGAGACTGGGGATCTGACAGCGGGTGCATCGACGACCGTTAGACATGCGATGCAAAGTAATGGAATCATGGTGAACGCGATGGCTCGCATTGTCCAGCCGAAGCTGATTTTTCGATGGTTGAGAAGTTGTTCAAGCATGATCGGCCAGATGATGCCCCCAATGGAGGAGCCTCCGATGGTGAGGCCGAGAGCTAGACCACGGCGGTGGGGCATGCGACGGGAGACCACGGCGACTGGCGGGCAGAAGATGAGGGACATGCTCACGCCGAGAAGGACGCCTTGGGCCAGAAAGGCTTGATAGTATTCCGTGCATAGAGATGTCATGAACAGTGCGAGGAGTTGCCCGATACTACCGACGCACAAGAGGATCTTCGAGGATATCAGTACCCTGTTCAGAGGCATTCAATGATGCTAAAGAAGTCCGTACCGTGGGGCCGACCCTGTCGCAAAGCATCCCGGACACGGGTGCGCAGAGGTACAGAATGAAAATAGAGACCGAACCAATCCATGATATGTCGGATTCGGACTTATCAAAGTACGATTGGTAGTATTCTTGGAAAACACCGAAGGCATTAAGAAAGCCAACTGTGCAGAAGAGTGAGAGAGCTGCACCGAAGACAGCGAGCCATGACCGGAAACTGACTCCGTGTTAGTGGGCAAGGGTGTCGGGAACGATCCGGGAATAAGGCACACACACCTGTCGTAACCTAGCGGAGGCCGAAGTGCGTTCATGATGATTTGGTGATGAAGGCACCAAATAACTCTTGAGCTGATTGTAACTTCTTAGTGATTAATCCGAAAAGTTCTCATGATGGCGATATCACTTATTTAAATCAAGCATCGCGTGAGTGCTCAATGTGCTAATCGGGCGCAGTAGCGAGGTAGCGTTAGCTTAGCCGCGGATAATCCGCGGAGATCGATTCATCCTCCGTAGAGCATCCACGGACGTCCTTGTCTCAACTTCCCATCAGCATTTCCATCGTCCTTGGCTGACTTCTTTCACTATCCGGCCACAGCCCATTGAAATGATGAAGCGTAGCACAGCGTCACAACAGGAAAAGCCTCAAAAACGGCGGCGGCAGCCGCAGGTCTCGTGCGACTCGTGCCGAAAGAAGAAGTTGAAGTGCGACCGTGGGGACCCTTGCTCAAGCTGCCTCATGCGCGGGTTGCCCTGCACCGGACAGCCAACGCCGCCAAAGACAGCCGCAAATTCAAGGTGAGATCCGCCTTTCCACAAAATTGTTCATTATTAACGTATAGAAAGCCCCGCCGTTGTTCATTATTAACGTATAGAAAGCCCCGCCGTTGCAGTGCAAAGCCCGCAGAACGATGACTCCATTCTCGGCCGGCTCCGGAGGCTGGAGCAGGCTGTATTCGGCTCCGGGCCCACTGCGGCCAACGGACCTTCCGCGGAGCAAGCCTTGATAACGTTTGACTGTCACGTTGATGATATGGAAAACCGAAACGTTAGCTCTGTCGTAATGGGCTCTCGGAAGCCTTCGCCACCCCGCTCATCGACAAGACCAGTGACGATCAATGAGAGGCAGCAGACAGCGAAGTTCCTTGACTCCACGTTCACACGGCATGGCCTCAACGTGAGTGAAATGGTTCTTAGGATGCTTGGTCTCATGGGAGGGCCAACGGATGGGACTTACGGCGTTCAGCCGAGACAGATGAACGTCAAGTACCCCCGTAACATCAATGACGACGCCAACAGTCTTGCCGACGAAAACATCGACCATCCATCGGATACGGCGACGGGAATTTCATGCTTTCTCCGACGAATCCAGCTCGCCGAAATCACCCGTTCCATCATCGATGCCAGAACACCCGGCGCTCCTGATGCAGAGATTACAAACTACGATCAAGTCGCCCAACTTGATCGCCTGTTCGCAGATGCCCTCGCAGAGCTCCCGGAGTTCCTACGTCCCGACGGTCCGATTTCACCTGATGCGCCTCCACATCTCCACCTCCAGAGAGATGTCGTGCTGCTCGGCTTCCACTCCAGACGTGCCAGGTTGCACAGACCTTTCCTGCTTCACGATGCTCAAGACGCAGCTTATGAGCGCTCACGAGACATCTGCCTGAAGTCGGCCCGGACAGTTTTGTCGATTGCCATCCGCTTGTTGAAGGGATCACAGAAGAGAGAGCCCATTCGTGCATACAATGCAAGAGCCATGGGCCGCCGGCTGGGATGTGTCATAGGACACATGTTCATGGCATGCACCATTCTTGCTTTGAACGCAGGCTTCGACACCAGTCGCGATCAGCAGAGAGGAGATGCGCCAAGCGATGGAGCGATCACGGATGCCACAGCAGAGACACATGCTGAAGTTGCACATGCTTGTCGTGCTCTAGCATCGGCGGGAGAAGAGTCTGCTGTTGCGGCGAGGCTAGTTCGGAATTTGGCCTGCGTGCTCCGTAAGTATCGGATCCAAGGTGTCGACGACGTTGAAGGGTCGGAATCGGAGCATGCTCCCGAGCCCGCTCTTCCTGATACCCAGGACGGCCCTCTGGCCTTTGGTAAATACTTGGATATGGGAGACATGACCTTTGGCGTTGATTACGTAGGGATGTTAAATGATGATCTTGGCTTGGATGGGCTGTGGAATGGGATCACAGGAGACACATCAACGGCATATGGTTGGGATCAACTGTTCGCAGGTCTGGATACATATTGTGGCCAAACATCGGCGTTTTAAGTAGACTTCTGCTATTCAGGCGGGTAGCGGGCATACCTAGACGACAGCAGGGGGGACAAGGATATGGATAGGAACAGGGACTACGGGGGACGACGAGGGTGATGAGCATAGTAGAATTATTAAGATGCGGTAAACTATTTAAGAATAACATAGGTTCTCTTCCCGGTTAGTTAGGTGTATGGGCCTCGATAGCATGATTCTTCAAATGCGCCGCCCGTGTCACATCCGCAAGACAAGTCAACGGGTATCAATTTCAAAGCTTTTCTCTTGCTTGACTCTAATGGCACAATATCATACAGATTCTAGTTTATCAATTAGACGACGTCTTTCCCATCCCGTCCCATCTCTCAAACGCCCTCGAATCCAAATCGAACAAATCTAGTAGCCTCCCTACCATCTGATTGAGAATATCATCAATTCCCGATGGCTTCGTATAGAACCCCACAACAGGCGGCGCAATAATCGCCCCAGCCCTCGTCACTTCCAACATGTTCCTCAGATGAATCTCACTAAACGGCGTCTCTCGCACCGAAAGCACCAGCCGCTTCCGCTCCTTGAGACACACGTCGGCCGCCCGTGTAATCAGGTCGTCGCAGATGCCTGCATTGATCGCGGCCAGCGTCTTGACGGAGCATGGGGCGACAATCATGCCGTCTACCCGGTAGGACCCGCTCGCTATCGGTGCGGCGAGATCGTGGGCGCTGTAGGCGTGGTCCGCGAGGGCTTTCACCGCGGAAGGGGTGTAGTCTGTCTCGTACTTTATTGTCTCGGCGGCCCACTTGCTGATGATGAGATGGGTTTCCACGTTGAGGCGACGGAGGGTCTGGAGGATGTGGATGCCGATCTGCGCGCCAGTTGCGCCGGTGATGGCGACTATGATCTTTTTGCGGGGGTAGGTGTCTCTCATATTTGCTGCTTGGGCGTTGAGAAAGTATTCAAAAACTTGATGAGCATATGTGTACCAAATTATACTTCAAGATTGAATAATTGCAGCTGATGAAGGGGCTTGCTTATGTGTTTGAGGATATTTGTTGACTTCTGCTGGATATGTCCCGATAGAGTGATGGGGTCCTGGATATTTATCAGGATTCACCGGCGCTCGTTCGGAGAGCCGGTAGTGACCTCCTCGAACGACGAAAAGTCCGAGACCCGCAAGATCGGCATCATCGAACATCATGCGCGAGAGCCAAGGCCAATCAAGCTTTCTGGACTTGCTCGTAATGGGGAATCTCATGATCTCGGGGAAATCGGAGTGGACCTTGCCTCGCACTTCAGTCTCTCGGCGAGTTCGGCCCCACATCTTCCCTCCTTGCCGGCATCCGCAATCAAGATGACCACGAGATATAAATGATGGATGCTTGGCTGCGTCAGTGGTATTGTTGCAAGTCAGCATCATCATAAAGTAAAATCACAACATCTTCATCATTTCAAAGAACATCTATAAATCAAAACTTCATACAATCTCACTACATGTCTTCGACAAACCCGCAAGACCTCCCACACATGAACTTCCGCTCCTTCGTGGAAGCCCTCAAAGCCGACGGCGACCTTGTCGAGATCAACGAAGAATGCGACCCCAACCTCGAAGTCGGCGCCATCATCCGCAAGGTCGTTGAAAGCGACGAGCGCGCCCCACTCTTCAACAAGCTCAAGGGCCAGGATGACAACGGCCTCTGGCGCATCCTCGGCGCGCCCAACTCCCTTCGTGCCGACCCCTCGCAGCGATACGGCCGTCTGGCGCGTCACCTTGGTCTTCCACCTACTTCGAGCATGGAGGAGATTCTCGACAAGATGGTGGCCGCCAAGACCACGACGCCCATCCCTCCCATCGTCGTCGAGTCAGGCTCCTGCAAGGAGTTCCGCCTTACCCCCGACCAATTCGACCTCACGAAGCTTCCTGCCCCGATGTTGCACCAGTCCGATGGCGGAAAGTATATCCAGACATACGGGATGCACATCGTGCAGTCGCCGGATGGGAAGTGGACGAACTGGTCCATTGCCCGCGCCATGGTGCACGATAAGAACCACCTGGCTGGTCTGATCATCGAGCCGCAACATATCTGGCAGATCCACCAGATGTGGAAGAAGGAGGGCAAGGATATGCCGTGGGCGCTGGTGTTTGGCGTGCCCCCGGCGGCAATCATGGCTGCAAGCATGCCATTGCCTGGAGGTCTGTCAGAAGCGGAGTACATTGGCTCGCTCGGTGGCGCGGCGTTGGAAGTTGTGAAGTGTGATACCAATGACCTTTACGTGCCAGCGAACTCGGAGATTGTGTTTGAGGGTGTCTGCTCTGCGACGGAGACGGCGCCCGAGGGACCATTTGGCGAAATGCACGGGTAAGTGACCGATGGTCAAGGGCTGGCATGTGAACTTCGCTAATGACGACAGATACGTTTTCCCTGGCGAAGCCAGACCCCAGCCAAAGTACAGAGTCGATCGCATCACACACCGAAAGGACGCTATTCTGCCCGTTTCCAACTGCGGTAGACTCACCGACGAGACAGTAAGCCTTGCCTCCCTCTATGTATCCAATCAGACACTAACACGATAAGCACACAATGATCGGACCCCTCGCCGCCGCCGAGATTGGATTCCTCCTCAAGTCCAAGGGCGTCCCCATCAAGGAAGCCTTCTCACCCTTCGAGTCTCAGGTGACATGGGTCGCTCTCCAAGTCGACACCGAGAAGCTGCGGGCAATGGAGACCAATGCCAAGGACTTTTGCAGGACTATCGGTGATATTGTCTTCAACGACAAGGTCGGCTACACAATCCACCGCCTCGTCATCGTTGGCGAGGATATTGACGTGTACAACTTCAAGGACGTCATCTGGGCGTTCTGCACGAGGTGCCGTCCCGGCTTGGATGAGTATCACTTTGAGGAGGTCCGCGGGTTCCCGCTGATTCCCTACATGTCTCACGGAAATGGGGACAAGCACACTGGAGGAAAGGTCGTGTCGGACTGCTTAATGCCTACGGACTACACCACCGGAAGGGACTGGGAGGCTGCGGACTTCAAGGAATCTTTCCCCGCTGAGGTGCAAGAGAAGGTTTTGCAAAAGTGGGAGGCGATGGGTTTCACGGAGAGGAAGTGAAGTGTCAAAGATGGATACATTGCATGTTTTCTAGAACTTTGTAGACACTACTAGACAATAGAAGATAAACGATAGACCTTTCGCTGGCTAGACAAGTCAAAGATTTCCATAGGGAACGAGCTGGGACCTTAATACTGATGCCATGCTTTGTTGAAGACCATATCCAGTGCCTTCAGGCATGTGCGTCTTTATCCTGGTGCTAGACCTTTTAACTAAACCACCAATGACTGTAACAACATTTGCCTCATGCTGAGGAGGTCTCTTAGTCCCCCGTATGATGATACACAGCAGGCAAATACGGCAAGCACCTGCCAGATGCAAGATAAATGCGTTTCTCATTCGGCATGAAGCCAAAGGGCTTTTAATAGGGATCTTTTAATTATATTTAGATGATTGGCAGAAATGAGTCGCCAGAGAAATTCTGGTCTGACATGATGTAGTCAAAGGCGCCAAGAGGTGACATGTCGAAGTTGAAAGGAAAGGACCAGTCGTCCGTACCCATATTCCAGAAGCTACACAGTCAGTTTCTATATTCAACGTCACCTCAGATGAGAACTCACCTATCTTGATATCCTTGTTGAGCTGGGTTTTGATCAGAGTTGTTCTCCAGTGGTGCATCGTTTGTGTTAACCGCATCTTCATTGCGACCTCGGGAGGTCAAGTCGCGATCCGCTAAACGCTGAAGAGTCTGAAGAGCTTTTAGTGCCTTCTTCAGAGTGTCGGATAGATGCCCCGAACTATCAGACATCGAATCTGGGTCAGTATCCGAGAGACTTGTGATCATCTCGTCTTGTAGGGTCCGCGTCTCCGGTAGGTACCTCGTTTCACGCATCAGACTGAGCAATAAGACTGAAGTGAGCCCATTATGAATGAAAGCCCAAGAACGTCTCGCGTGGCCCGTAATTGTTCTCAATCGGACGTATGCTCGAACACTGCGCCGGAGTGAGTCTCGAAACTGTTCCAGAATGACAGATCGGTCAGCATCATCGAGCTGCCTAGCGTTAGAGCTAGAAATGAACGGTCGACAAAGAGTAGATACGACGAAGTTCTTGTGCAGTTCGAAAGCGTAAAACTCCTGCAGTTCGCGAATTGATTTCCCTTTTTGTGGATCAGTGAGGTGTGGTGACAGGGAGATCTCGACTGAACGCATGTCATCAAGCATGGCCAGCGGTTGGCTTGGAAGGCTCTCTCGTGAAGATACATGACGTAATGTGACGTGACATAGCCAGTTCATTGCTTCCAGATACGATATTTTGCCATTGATGGGAGGATTTGTGAGAGGTAGTAGGTCTTCTTCGAAATCCATCTCATGAGACGCTGGCGGTCGACCGAAAGCAAGTGCCAGAAGAGCATCTTGCCAGACGATGGCCAATCTGTAGTTGGTGAGGCTGGGTTCGTCAGAGAATCGTGGATAATTGCGCCTACCTCAGATACTTGGCCTCTTCTGGAGGGATCAGTGCAGGCACCAAGCGGTCGGGTTTCTTGTGGATGCTGAGGCACTGGGCGAGACGGATTGTGGTTCCTCCTAGAACCCATGCTGCTTGTGGTTTCATGTCGTTTTGCAACACATTTCCAAGAAGAAGCAAGGTTTGAATTGCTTCTTTAGTTGGCTTCGCGAGATAGTCGGTGCATCTGAGAAGGTCGAAGGCGTGTTTTGCTGTAGGTTGTCAGGTCAAGAGCGAAGTGGGACGAAGATTGAGCAATGCAGACATTCAGACACCAAAGAAAATGTACGACTCACTGTGCTGCTGCGACAGTGCCAGCCTTTTATGAAATGAGAGTTCCGAAAACTGAGCACCAGTCGCCAGAATCGCATGGAGCAGGCAGAGCCACCGGGGGTCTTCTGGACATTCCGAGGCCGTAACACGCCCAGACGTGACAAGAGCGCAAGCTCTCGCCTCAATATTATCCAGATCGTACGTGATGACGTGAAACGGATGGGCTCTTTGCCGGAATACCTCAAACAGCCGGACAATCTCCTGGTCACTTGGCAAGGAGCTGAATGATATCGCAGACGATGCTGTGTCGTCGCTGATCCCCAGGAGTGGCAGAATGCCGGTTTCGAAAGCCGACTGACGGGCCGGATCATCTCGTGAGCGAGGAGAACGCTGACGGGCCATGTTCACCACTGAATTGTCGGCTAGAAAAGTGGTATCCCCATTGGTTGTCACCGCAGTCCTGTGGCTCGAGGATTCGCCTGTATTTGGAGAAGCAGCGGCATTGAGGCCTGGGCTGGCGTTTATATGGTCTTGATATGCATCTGAAGTTGAGAACGATGGTACATCGTGCCGATTGCGGTCGGATTCCGGACTGCGAGTCGGCGGATGCGGCGTCCTGGACCTAATGGGGGATCTGGCCCCAAGGGATGTGCGTGGTTCGTAGCTGCACAGATCCGCATGACCTCGTTTTGAACAGGTCAAACATGGACGTCCCTTATCGCACTTGACCTTGCGTTCACGGCATGGTAGGCATGACTTGGGGTTGCCCCGAACACCGTTTTGCATGCGTTGGCGAGATCGCAGGATATCCTTCAAAGTGGTCTCCGAGGCACTCGGAGTGCTCGGAAACTGTTGGACCGAGTCTGCCATACCACCTTCGTCTCAAAACAACTCAATCAGCTCTACGGTCAATGAAGCAGATGTCGGCAAAACCATAGAGAGTTGAGTTCGGTGAGTTGAACAGGCCTACAGCGGCGAAACGGGTGGGGAGAGGCTGCAGAACAGGCTTGATGCTGGGGTTGTTGCGCGAGCAGATATGATATCGGAGGGTTGGAGAATGCAGGTGCGCTTACCCAGAACAATGTGCCAAGCTTGGTTTGAGGTTGTCGGCATGGTCGCGATATTCGGGATGACGTTGATTGAGGTCAAGCTGGGGGCCCACTTAGCGCCGGTTTCGGCATTCGGCTCGGAGAAACATCGTGATGGAGATCAAATTGAAGGGACTTAGATGAGGCTCTCACGTATCAAGCAAGGCAAGGGCACCTAGGTGACCAAGAAAATCGAATTTCCGATAATTTGGGATGAGCTGGCATGCGGCACGAAGGCCGATATTCCGGTGTCTGATGGCGAGTTGTCAGGGGCCCGCTTGCATTAAGACCACATCGCTGCACTGAACCTACATTAAATGCGTCCGACGATATATATATGCAATGTCCACTCGCCTTGCGATATAATGCGATCTAAGTTATAATTCATCTGATAAGCCTCTATAGATTTAATTTGAGTTCTAACATCGAAGAATTTATTGATACACAAAGAGCGTCCCATCGTCTTGGATTTCAGAAACACAGAGAAGCCAAAGGTTTTCTACGCCTGCTGCAAAAAGGAACCAAGGGCAAAAATAGTGCCTCATTTCCCAGACTTAGCGCTTGTTCTTTGTATCTCCTCGAAGCTGTAACGTGAAGCTCCGTTCCATTCTCAGGTGCGCACAGGAACTTGCGAAGGTGCTCTCTTTCCTCGTCAGTTGAGACCCAATACTTGGAATCTCTCCGGGTCACCGTTCGTGAAAGCGAGATTGCCTAGATACCTGAACTCGGATTCAACCCAGATGTTTGCAAAATTTTCTGAGGCAGGAGGTCGTCTTGTCTGAATCCTTCTTCACCTGCACCTCCAGGCTGCCTTTTTTATTCCATCCCCACCCAACCGCCCTCGCCTCGAACTTTCCACAACTCGAAGGATTTTCGCTCCTGACATCGCAACAAATTGTATTGAGAAATACTAAGCCATCGCCGGTCATGGGAGACTACATCAAGAAAGAGGCCAGCGATGCCCATCTACCGACGAACCGGGATTTCATCACCATCTCCCACGATTCCAGAACCCGCGTGATCCCGAAGCCGACCAAATACGCCATGCTGGACAGAGCCATTCGCGATCATTTCTACATCCCCGATGACAAGAGAATCAGAATCCATTTCACTCCTAGCTGGATGGAGAAGGAAGTTGAGCTTGACCTGAACTGCTTCTGCCTAGTCGCCAATCATGACTCTTTTCGTGTCGATGTCGCGCAGACCGTTTTAGTCCGGGTCAAGGATGGTATGTCCTCCGAATCCCACCCACTGTCATTGATTCCATCTAACACACAATCGCTCTAGTCGGAATGGAGCACACCTATCTAATCGACAGCTGGTGCCCGCTGGGAAAGGTACTTGAGAAGTTTCGCCCCCGAAACGTTGCGCTCTTGTACAACGGTGTACTAGTTGAGGATTTTGACACTCCTGAGGCCCTGAAGGCAACTGGTGGAAGCATGCTCATGGAGCTCCTCTTTGTCCCTATGTGGCCTACGATCAAGTGCGATTGAGGACTTTTCGAGCAGCAGCAAGAAGCTGCCATTGAGCTTCTCTCTCAAGATTTCCAAAGTTGCCGATAAGGGAGGGAACATTACTCAACCAGAGGTTCTTTGGGATTGAATGTGTCGTGGATACCGCCGCATGGAAGCATCCAGCAATGGCTCTGGGGAATTGATGAAGGAGACATGCGCCAAGAACATTGTATTTTACTCACAATCCTGACCAAAGAAAGCTTCGCGTAAAGATACCCTCAGTTAGCATTGAGAGCTGGTATCAGGCAGAACCACCTCCCATTTTCTATGGGGTTACTTTTGGATTCCAACCTGAAAATTCCATATCAGTAGAGCAGCCTAGGTAGTCAACGGTGGAATCTAGTAAGAAATAACAAGGAACAAGCCGAATCCAATTGTACCTTTTCATGGACGATCAAAGTCGACGATGGCTATTCTCAGCTGCAGAACGACGACAGCTTGTTGCGGCCCGTCAAATAATGCAGACGGCCCGGCAGCCAGCCCGTTTGATGAATCTCCACCTGCCCCTGTACCTGATTCGATCCCTGTCAGCGTGGCCCGCTGATTCCTTTCCTTTCACACATTCTATGAATCGACAATAACGTTGAGCGCGAGACTGCGCTGAGCTCTTCAGTATGGCATCCGCGGCGCCCCAAGTGGAAAGTTCACCACCGACTAAGGACGCCAAGGCCAAGCAAGACCCTGTGGAGGAGGATGAATACGAGCGCGAGCCCTGCGAAGCCGTTGACGATCTGCGGACAACGTGCATATTCACCGCGCTTTCTGGGCTCTTTCTCTCCGAGAAGTATGCTGACATGATCATCACCTGCAATGGCAGCACTTTCAAGGCCCATCGGGCTATTGCATGCCCTCAGTCGTCCTTCTTCGACAAGGCATTCTCCGCCTCATTCAAGGTAGCCACTCAACTCACTCTTTTAGGAATAGGAGCTGACAAAAAAGAATAGGAAGCCGCCTCAGGAACCATCGACTTACCAGACGATGAGCCCTCTATCTTCCGGCGCTTGCTTCAGTTTCTCTACACGGGAAACTACGACGATGGAGTCATGCCGATGCTCGGAAAGCCGGCTGCGATTTCGCTGTTGCAGCCTGACGAGGTTGCCCATGAACTCGACGCACCGATTGGTGTAGAAGATCCCCGCAGGGGGAGAAAGGTCCCAAGAAGGACATCCACCAGCTCCAGACATCCTAGCCACTCGGCTGAGAACCTGGATGGCAGCGGCGACGATACGACTAGCGTCACCGACGATGAGAGCTTCTCCGGCTCCTCGGGGTTCGACCCTGGCTACATAAGGAGACAGCCATCGGGCATCGAGCCGGAAGAGGAATACAATGAATTCTCCGGCGAGAACGTGGCCGATGAGCTCGCGGACGACGCAGACGACACCATCAACAAAAAGCTATCGCAACCCGAAGGAGCGGGCGACGACGTAGTGACCCTAGTAAAGAAGGAGCTTTACGGCGCTCGAGATGACTTGTTCCTGCACCTGCGTCTATACGTCATGGCCGACAAGTACGACGTGCCAGCCCTCAAGCTCCTGGCTCGAGAGCGCTTCTATCGATCGGCGGAACTGAGTTGGGAGGTCGCAGACGAGTTTCCTGCTGTCGTTGATGAGTTGTACAGCGACACCATTGAGACGCATTCTGCGATGCGAGATATTGTATGCCGGTTAGTTGGAAATCAAGTGGGGAATGTGCGAACGAGGGAGAGGATGGAGTGGGTTATGAAGAAACATGGCGAGTTCGCCGTGGGAGTTATGAATTATTACATCTTGTCGAAGGATGGAGAGTTTGCCTGGTCATGATGGGGCCTTGTCGATGGCACAAAAGAATTATTCCCCAGGCACTTTTTCAAGGATAATGTCCAAGGTTTAGTCAGCCAGGAAGAATCCCTTGCGACGTCGATTACTGACCTTTGAAAGCAGAAGTATTAGGATGGATATCTGAAGAAATATAGCTCGCAGAATCATATCAAAGGGTTTTGATTGCAGAATGTGACAGATATCACTTACCCTATCCGCATCTATTGATAAACACTTCCAATTGAATAGGTTCAAATGAGACAACTAAAGAAGAGGGAAGCATCATAAGATGACGAAGATGCTATCCATTCACTTAGAACAACTTGTGAGATGCTCTCCAACTAAGTTGATGTCGCTGGTGCTGTCTTTATTGGAAACACATTTTCCTTTTAAGAGCTACGAAATAATTGCATTAGGACTTCTCATGGAGCAAAGGGTCTCAACATACAGCACTTGACTCGCATGCGAACAGAATATCTTGGTGGCAAGTTTGTGACTGCTGATTGAAGCTATGAGCCCCTTACATTGTGAGGTTGTAATTTGTGTCTTTCCTCTTAAGCTCAATCATGCCACAAGGCAACCCCAACGACTCGACCGTATCAAAACTTCGGATTGTTTTGTCGTCATGCGTGAGAATAAACGTACCAGGCTTGTTGCAATTTCGCATATTTCCATACCGATGAAGAAGCCCACCAAATGGTTCCCAACTGTCAATCACAAACTTGTCACCTACAAATGAGAAGTGAGAAATATTGTCATCGGATAGCAGAAGCCACTTACCTCGGGCGTCCAATATGTGAATGAGAACTGTTTCTGGGAATCGAACCCAAATCATATGGCCTTCACTCAACACTTCAAAGGAGTTCTTCACAAGCTCCACCTCCGTATCTTTCCATCTGATGTACAGACGAAATATGTGTGAATCTTCTATATCAAGCAGTCTGCAAACGGTTTGCTGAAGGTCGTGCCAGGTGTCCGGCCTCTGAATGAGGACCTTTCGCTGACCAAAGCAGATGGCCACGAAGCAGTGAGAGACGTTTGTAGACGGAGTGAACGGCTGGACAATGAGCGTCGGTGAGCTGGAACGGGAAGTCGTTGGTGCTCCCATCATGCCAGAATTCTGCGGTTTTATTGTACAAGAGTAACCAATTTTAGCACAGGTTAGCACTGAGGAAGAGGGTTTTGCTGCCCAGGGGTCGAGGGAGCATTATATAACCATACTCATCTCTTAGAGCTAGGCACTGGAACAAATTGGCGGAGCAGGAAATGCCGTTCTTTTAGGTTCTCCTCTCGAGTTTGGCTATGAACCTTCACAGGGTGTTACTAAGCGACTGAGTCTCGGGTATTGGCTGAGGGGAATCTTATTATCAACTTCAAATGTAATTGGGTCACATGGTGATAAGAGACCTCAGATGAAGGTCAAGTTCCGCACATGCTCATTTACATACATCGGTACAAAGTCGGCAGTCATGTACCAACCGGGCTTCTTCATGCTGTCACTGACTCTCAATCCGTTGATGACAAGGTTCTCGAACCTTACGAACTCAACGCTACGAGTCTCATTAAAACCAGTCATTATAGCCATGTTTGCGTTTTCTCCAGTGTACACCAGATCCCTGATAGTAACATTGGAGATGCCGCGGCAGGTGATGTATTGTACTTCTGGTTGTACATCACCATCATGGTGATGACCTGGCCCATTCTGAAATTCTCAACACGAACATTTTCAATCAGAATGTTTTTAACGAGGTTGCTGTCCCCTGGGTTGATTGCGATGGCGCCCTGGTATCCCATCTGAAATTCGCGGTGGTCCATGATGTCGATGTTACGGATTGTGATGTCTGACATGGTCTCGGGGTTGATAGAGTTACCATGGGTGCCAATGTTGATAGGATGTGCCACATCTGCCCACAAAGCTGCGTTCTGGATGGTGATATTGGCGCTGTCGCCGTACCAGTCATTGCGATGATTGTACAGCGCGACACAGTCATCCGAATTTCTCATAAAGACTCCGTCGATAAGGATGTTCTTGCTACTGTATAGATCAATGCCATCGCCCCACTGAGTTGCACTGAAGGAGCGAAGTTTGCGAATGGTCACGTCTTCTGCTTCAGCAGCGTTGAAAGTGTAGTGAGTCGGATTGAGGACGGTGATGGACTCGATGGTGATGTTCTTCGACCACTGTGCTGATATGGCTCCCACGGGTGTGCGGTAGAGTATACCGTGGCCGCGGATGGATGCTGAAGTGGCGTTATCAAGAGAAACAGCGGCATTCAGAACTGCCCCTGCAGCTAGGTAAAGGGTTTGGCCGGAGGTGATATTGAGAGTCGAGTTCAGCGTGTGATAACCAGGGCCGTAGTAGATGATGCTTCGATCATCTTTGGACGGGAGGCCTTTGGGAATATGGTTGGTGATTATGTGCAGAACATCAAAGACTGAGTTGGTGGTTTGAATTAGGATATCCGTAGGCTTGGTCAGATTGAAGCTCAGGGAGTTTCCTTGACTGTTCGGAGTGATATCATAGGAGTCTGGCCGAATGCGAGGAATCGTGATGTCTCCAGAATTGTAAGTGACTGAGATTTCCACGTCGTTATCAAAATCGAACATGGCCAGTGAGCTGGGGTGGACCATCGCAGATCCGGTCGTGATGTTGATCTCATGGAGGTTCACGAGATATGTAGATACCGGTTGCCACTCTCCATCTGGCTTGCGTACGTTGATTGTGTAAGAAGTTGACTGTTTGACCTCATCGGGTATGGGGTAAGTCTGCAAGCTGGATGCACCACTTATGACACCGGCCAAAGCCAGTATCGTGAGACCAAAACGATGAGGCGGCATCGTGGCTGTGGGGTCTGACTAGCCAAGCTGTCGATTTCAGTCAGGATTGCCAGTTCTTTTGTACTTTGCTTTCAGCCCTACAATAATCGCCCCAGCACAATCGCGTACACGGACTTGAGCAATGCGGCGACCGGTCAACGGTGCCCCAGGATTTACCCCGCATATTTCGGGCGTTGCCCGCGACCTGGCCCGGTGTCCTCGGAAACGGCCCGGGACTCTGGCCGCTGGTAGATCACTGCCTCTTTCTGGGATAATATCGCGGAACGTCAAGAATGCGACTGCTTTAAAAACTCATAAGATAGGTCATCACAGATGACTCAAGTCGTAGCTATGCAATGCAATGTAGCTGAGCATCTCAAGCCAGAATACTCTGCCCCTATTAGAGCCTGCCTACAGCGCGTTCCAATATTATGCCTCTATTACTCGCCACATAACAGCATCAGAGGTGGTTGGAGCCATGCTCAGTAGACGTAGATGAAGTTGGGGTTCTCCTTGTCCGTCAAATCCGTGAAAGCGGTAGCGTTGAGCTCGTCCGCAACGTAATTGCCGCTGGCGCGTAACTCTTCGCGCTGCTTCTCCTTGCGCTTGTTCTCCCAGATGAAGGCATACCGGAACACGAAGAAAAGTGCAAGCTCAATGCAGTTAGCCACCAGCAATGAGCCGATGCCCAGGTGATATGAGGGAGCCTGGTCGGTCTTGTAGAAGAAGGGGCTGGCGATGTTTCCAATGCAAGCGCCGAACCAAATCATACCAGAAACGATCATCTTCTTAGATTGACCACCGGTGTTTGAGGTGATGAGCGAGAGGGAGATGACAAAAGAGGCTTGGTACGAGCCAGTCAGGTAGCTAGAGAGAAGTCAGAGAGATGTGCAACTCCAGCCGAAAGCGAGACTCACAAGCAAATCAAGCGTCCGACGTAAGCGTTCGCCGGGGCCAAGAGGAAGCCCAGCGCACCACCAATTGTCGGCAGCATGAACATTGCGCAAACAAGTGTGCGGCTGTTGGCAGGCATATACTTGTTTGCCAAGGCACCAAGCCCGATCCAGATCACCACCAGAGCGCCCTGCGGGATGCCAAGCAGCGCCGTCTCAAGCGTCCCGAAGCCAAGACCCTTGATGACCAGGGTTGAAAAGTTGGAGATGCCGCCGTTGGGGACGTTCGAGACGAATCCGAGCAGGGTGAAGAGCCATGTCTTGTAGTCGAGGTATGCCTCCTTAATCTGGCCCCAGTTGATCTTACGCTGTTCGATGCCGGTCTGGTTGCGGCGCATGCGGGCGATCATGATCAGCTTCTCTTCATGGGTGAAGCCCCAGATTGTACGAGGCGAGTTCGGAAGGCAGAGGGCAAGGATGATGGCCCAGAAAGCGCAGAAAGCTCCGACGACAAGGAATTCGTAGCGCCACGACTCGAGGGCACCTTTGATGTGACCGATTCCGTAGCCTGTGTTAATAGACATTAGCCAGCGGTCAACACTTGAAGAGGAGAGGCAACAACGCACCAATAAGACCACCTCCAGCAACGCCGATGCCATTCCAGGCATACCAGGCCGAAATACGCGAGGGCTGCTCAGCACGAGTGTAGTACATGCTGGTGATAAGCATGAAAGCGGGGTCGGCGATGGCTTCGAAAGCTATTCTCATAATTAGCATCACATTACAACACTCGAACAATTTGAAGCAGTTGCTATGGACCTACCTCCAGACAGCACTCGAAGAGAGAGAAGACCAGCAAAGTTTTTCGCAGCAGCTTGCGCCATGAGTAGAGCGCCCCACATGAAGATGTTGAAGGACAAGTACCATGCGGGCGGGCTGCGCTGCATGATGAGATTGGAGGGGATGGCCCAGATGAGCCAGCCGAAGTAGAAGCTGCTCGAGAGCCATGAGTACTCCTCGCCCTTGAGGTTGAGGCCGTCCTTCAAACCAAAAATAGCAGCATATGATCTGAAAGATGAAAAGTAAGCAACGGTTTTCCAGGAAATCATGGGTTATCCATCTGGTCAACAAACAATGTGGTCTTATCGACATAGTAGAAGAAGTAGCAAATGCCGAGCAAGGGAAGAATCCGCATGTCAAGCTTCCGGAGAAGTCTCTTCTCGTCGGCTTGGTCGATCGATTCATCGTTGGGGTACCGTGCGAGAGCTTCGAGGTAGATCTCGGGATGCTGTTGGTGAATATCCTCGCCTTCGACATGAGGCTTGTGAAAGTCCTGCTCGACGTGTTCGACGTCGCTCTGGCGGGACTTTGCGTTGGCCACGGTCGGAGTGTTGTCGGCCATGTTGGAATCGACGAGGTCGAGATGTCGCTATGTCGAGACAGGCGGTTGCCGTGATGGTCTTTCAACGTGGGATATCCCTCTTCAAATACTTGACATGTCGGCAGTGAGCGCTTGGAATATCCCTAGCAACATTACTGATACCGACAGCTCGGTTTTCGGTCAACTCCCACCGGCGATCGTTGTGGCGCGCTCAAACTAAGCCTGCTAGGCAAGCCTTCGCGCCAACCTCCCTCACTTTCTACATGGGCCCAGTCAAAAGCTGGTGTGGGTGACGGTTTCCTGAGTCGTGTGCGGGATGCGGGGTATGTACGGATTTGGTAGGCTGTAGTTATTGGTACTATCAGGGGGCATCAACAGCCTAACAGAGCTTTGCAGCGGGTATCATCCGCCGAGACCAAATATCAAGTTTTCGAGGGGTTCCCCAATCAGTGATCACTTCTTGATGCCATTGAGATATTCTACATTGTGTATGCTGTTCTTGCATCCAAAGGAGCTCATCTACATGAACGTAAATTCATCTCAAGGTTAGCTTTGCTTCTTGTCCCGATAGCCAGAGCTCGGATGACGCCCACTCGAGTATCGCGGGGTTCCGACCGCAAAGTCACTTCTCCGGGTTATTGCCCGTGGGGAACGCTCGTGGAGCGAGCTGGGGATGTGGGCATGAACCCACACTATTGCGGGGAGGCCACGAGTTGAAGGAGCATAATGATACCAGAACATGAACTCTGACTGGTGGATTTTGATTCTCCGTTGTCCTTCCGTTGACGGGTCCATGAACTGAGGCTCAAGACCGGCGCCGAGCTTGGCGTTTGGCGTTTGCGCCCTGCCAGGTTTGTTGAATCCATTGAGCCGGGTCCGCCATCGCACATCAATTGAAGCTATTTTCGCCTAGGAAGCGAAGTGCCGATGCCGCATGGCAAATCCCGTGAGCTTGATCATTAGGGCCCAGCCTTCACTCCTGAGTGCTATTAAGTGTGGCTGTTGGGGGTGAGCCCAAGCTCTATCACAAAATATGATCCCCCGATTCTACGAACAATCACAGACGGGTGTGTCTTCAACATGATCTCGCCAAATACCCGTTGTTAGGGCCGCTGAAGTGAGCGTCTCATTTCGAACGAGACTACCGGACTGGAAAGCTGTTGAGACAGCCGCCGCGCCCTCTTTGCTGCTGGCGCCCCCCTTTCATCTCATAGTTTTTTTACCCTCCCCATGCTCAGTCAACTAACCTCCGAAGAGTATTTCAAAGTTTGAAACTATACGCATCGATACGTTCATATTATTAATTGTGCATAGAAAACGGCTTCCCGCTCTTCCACTTCGGCGCTGTGCCCTTGCGCGTCTAGAGCTCGCTCCGGATAAGAGACTATGTCAGACCAAAAGTGGGTCCCACAATTGCGGAGCTATTGTGGCGCCTTATATCTGACACACCCCCTCAGGTTGAGGGCTGTTTTTCCCTGTTAAGCACTCAAGCTGGATGGCATCGAAGTAGGTAAGCGCTTCTACAACTGTTCTCTGCTTGCTTTTCTTGCTCTTTCTGCGGGACTCGAACTTGAGGGCTCTAGGTCCTTGTTGTGGCGCACGACTGTACACGTTAACCGTAGAGACTCTGGGCTCATAACTGTCAGACCAAAAGTGGGACCCACAATTGCGGAGCTATTGTGGCGCCTTATATCTGACATTCATGTTGGCGCCGGGGACGCGACTCAGGTACCAGGTAGAATCAGCAGTTCGGAAGCGGGTTCTGGTCCGCGACCCTTGCACGCTAATGGAAGATACCCTGAAAGAGAGAACTTGCAAGGGGTCCAAAGAGGGGCTCTTCAACGGCAACGCACTTCAGGATGGCAGAAGGATTCTTGTCCCCGCTTGCCGTTGCGCTTGCCGATTGCAACGGTCAGATTCCGTCGCAGATACTACTTTATGTTCAATTCCCTCATTACGGGCGGCTGATGACCCAAGATTCACCTGCTGTATGCAACATTAACTTCTCTTCACTCCCTACTGACACGCAATTATGACTGCAGGTAGGTGATTTCGACCTCCAATGCCGGCAGCGTTACTGACGCAAGGATGAACCAAAGCCATGGAACCGGTCAAGGCTCCCATCGAATACCCCCCGCTCGGGGATCTGCGGAAGATGATGGCCCAAAATCCTGTCCCTATGATCGCCCCCAGAACCGTGCAAGAGGGTTCCATGGGTGGCGACGAACCGACAAAACAAGCCCAGTTCACGTTGAATGCATTCAATGCTGCTTTGGAAATCCGCGATGCCGCTCGTCTTACGGAATGCTTCTTTCCTGACCAGGCCTTTTGGAAGGACCAGCTTGCTCTAACATACCATCTACGGAGCTTCTCCACCCCATCTGGCGTTGCTGCCGGACTTTTGGAGACTACGCAACTGAGGGGCGTCGTTGGCGGTCTCAGTATCAGTGGCTCAGCTCAGTTCATCCCGGCTACCCCAGTACTGGTAGGTAGCAAATACGACATCGGACGATTGATCAAATCGGCAAGTAATAGAAGAGCTGATCTTAGTCCAGCAATTCATCGATTGTGCGGCGACCTTCAGAACCGCCTCACCAGCCGCCACCTGCAGCAGCAGACTCATCCTTCTTCCCGTCAAGCGCCAGTCCGATGTTTCAAAGAAGAATATCGAGTGGAAGATTTGGATCTTAAGTACCAAGCTAGAGAATCTTAAAATTCATCCCGAAGATGAAAGTCTTCTCAAGGCACCCAAGAGACAGTTAGTGGAAATGGATACCATCGAGTCTGAGGTTTTCATCATTGGCGGAGGCAATGCGTAGGTCACCCACACATGTTTGTGCAGAGATCCAAGCTAATCTTGATCACTGCAGCGCGTGTGCCCTTGCCGCTCGTCTCAAAGCTTTTGGTGTCGACAGCGTGATGGCCGAGAGGAACGCCAGAGTGGGTGACAACTGGGCTCTCCGATACGATTATCTGAAGTTCCATGTGCCGACCGCTTTCTGCCAGCTGCCTTACTTGGGTAAGTCAGCATACATATAGCGTCCATCATATTCCAGAGAGCTTGCTAATCTTGTCATTCTTATGAAGACTACCCCGAGGAGCTGTGTGGGGATCACTTGCTCACCAAAGACGAGTTGGCTGAGCAGGCTCGACGATATGTGGAAGCCCTCAACCTCAACATCATCACCTCGGCCAAGATCAAGGCGACCTCGTATGATCAATCGACAAAGCTGTGGACTGTCAAGTTCCAGACTCCTGATGGAGAGCGTACTGCCATCTCTAAGCACCTCGTACAAGCAACCGGGGTTTCATCCCAGAAGCCGTACACTCCGAAGATTGCAAACGAGCATCTTTACAAGGGCGTCAGACTTCATTCGGCGGATTACAAGAACGCCACTATTTTGAAGGAAAAGGGTGTGAAGGTGAGATCTTCTCCCTTTGAGGCCAGTACTTTCTGGTTACTGACGCGCGAGCCCCTAGTCCGCGATCATCGTCGGCTCTGCAAACACAGGATTCGACGTGCTGCAAGATTGTCACGATACTGGTCTGAAGATTACCATGGTTGTCCGCTCACCGACCTATATTGTGCCAGTTGAATATGTTTGCAATCCCCGCAGTCTTGGAGCGTACAACTTTGGTGTCGAGGCCGGCGACAGGATGTTCTTGACACTGCCCGCATGCATCGACGGTCAACTCGGCCGCGGTCTCTTCGCTCAGTTTGCGCTACAAGAGCCGGATCATTACGCGTCTCTCGCCGCTGCAGGCTTCCCTGTTCTCGACAGTCGCGACCCCGATTGTGCATTGATGCACAACCTCCTCGAGCGTGCCGGTGGGCACTATGTCGATGTCGGTGCTACAAGCCTGATTGCTGAGGGGAAGGCCGGCCTCAAAGCGGGAGCCGAGCCGGTGGCGTACACCGAGACGGGTCTCCGCTTCTCGGACGGCAGCATCGTTGACGCGGATGCCATTCTGTGGTGCACCGGCTTTGCCGACAAGGACGCCAGGAAGACCGCTGCCGAGGTCCTTGGCGGTGGAAACACGGATGGCAAGGTCAACGGAGATAAGAACGTTCTCGGCCCAGAGGACATCGCGGCCCGTCTCGATGCTACCTGGAACCTTGATGAGGAGGGCGAGATCCGTGGAATGTGGAAGCGCCATCTAAACATGGAGAACTACTGGATCATGGGTGGATACACGCAGCAGCATCGATGGCATTCACGGACCCTTGCGCTGCAGATCAAGGCAGCCCTTGAGGGCGTACTCCCCCCGGCCTATCGCGATACCCCGACTCTGAAGGTGCCTCAATAGAGTAAATAATCATCATCCTAGGCCAATTAATAATCAACTTGATCACTATTGCACTGATCATTCGTTTTTCGGGGCGGCCAAGTCGGTTGGTTCCAGTCAGGCACGCGGTATTCACACAAGCATCTCAGGGGCTCCTCAGTTCATGGTGTGTGTTGGTGGGGGCGGCAGCACACGTTTCTTTGGCAAAGGGGGGCATGATTCCATGCGCAGTTTCTTCAAGTACGTATCTGGAATAGACTATTACACCTTGCTTTTTCGGGGCGATGGAAGGAATCAATTAATATTGTCGCAAGATTAACCCCTGATTCCGGCCCCCGCCCCCTGGCTTGCCAAATATTTTGCGGAGCTATGCGTCCGGGCTGACCTCCCACCATCCCATGTTCCTTGGAGACGCCTCTTTATCAGTGAACAAGAGATGTTAGGTAAGCGAAGATTGTAGAAGTCAGCATTTGGTACTTGTTGCTAGATTTCGGTTGCACAATGCGTTCTTCTCTGAGTCATCGGCAGTTTTGCCAGCAAGACCAGACTGATCTGCATTAATGTTTGGCCGCTGGAGAGCCATTCCGTCCGGTCTGAGCCAGGCATTGCTGTTCCAGCCATTCAAAATATTCGACTCAATTGCAGCTCACGTCAATAATGATGTCATTTGTTGCTGTAATGTACAGTAAAGTTTCTCGTACACACAATTCCCTGCGCCGGCTCCGTCTTCTGCAAAATCAACTCTTCACTGTTTGTGTCTGAGGCTGCGCCTGAGGGACACACAGAGCCTATTGTATCCCCAAAGTTCCTCATAGAACGCCCTGCATGGATCTCAGTTGTGGTCGGCGACATCTGTTGCTCTCTGATATGCATTGCATCCCTCTTTTGCAGCTCGTATTCGTCCTGCAGGTTTCCTTCGTGAATCATAGTTCGCCTTTTGCTGTGGACTTGGGCTTTACTCCCACCCGTCCCGGCGCCAAGTGGTGTTCGGCCGCTGTGATTGTATCTCTCGTAGCTGGGATAGTAGCCAGCAGAGCTGTTGATCTTCAAGTAGCGACCGACGAGGGGCTTGAGGAAGGATGCGCATGCTGCTATGATACCGATGTTGAGCTGGAGGCTGTACAGGTACTTCGGGTTAGCCGCAGAGAACTTGAGACTCGATATTCCATTGCTCAGCGACCTACTTTTGCCAAAAATGAACCCAATAGTCAAAAATAGCGTCAGGGGCACCGCCGGTTGTAAGCATAAACACGGCTTTGAGGATTCCCATCAATACAGCGCTTCCCATTGATGAACGTCAGCACAGACAGGATTTTGTGATTGAAGGCACTTACAAATATCCCAAGTTGAGGATTGCTATCACATAGATTCTGACTCGAAGTTTCATCTTCAGGCTCCAGATGATCGGAATGGGCAGAGCTCCCAAGCAGACGTCGGTGAAAATATTGCACGCTGAGAATAAGCAGGTTAGGTTTTGTTCAATACCCTGCTAGTGTAAGAGTTTTAACTGACATATGTTCCAGTATGTGAGGTTGAGGAAGACATTGAAGTCGTGGCACCTTGGATCAAACGGATTCATCCATTGGAACTCCCACCATCCAGAGTAAGGGGTGCAGTAAACAAACAGCCAGACTATAGCTTGGATTGAATACGCAACAACGAAGCCTGTCGAAAGAAGCAAAAGTCTGTCAGCTGTCTTTCAAGCGACCAATGTTGGCTTAGACAACATACCCATCACGGTGTACAACGACCACCGGTACCAGTTGAGGTCCCTCTTTAGTCGGAGCAAGGTGTATGCCATGGAAATTCTCAACAATCCCATGGCCACTCCATCCGAAATCACTGTCTTCCAGAAGGTGATTTGCTCGAATTTTATCCGCTCGTCAACAGCTATCGTTGTCGCATGACGGCCGAGGCCGTGTGGTATCTGGAGGACTAGGCAAATCCACGATGCCAGTGCTAGAAGCTTGGTCCAAAACTAGTCAGCTAGGGTGTCTCAGAAGTACTTGTGCAAATCTTCCAGGATAAGCATACAGCAGCGACGACAATGAGAGCATCATCCAAACCGAAGGCTCTGAGAACGACAACTCTAGCGTAGATACGCAAAGAGACGAAAGTGAATGCTAGAAAGTGAAAGGCACCGACAACGCCGACGATTCTGGCCGCATTGCTCTCATTCGCGTACTCGAGGGACTGGCCGTCCATTGTAGGCATTGATCGGCGAGGGGGAAGGGTTGAAAGTGATGGCCGTGCTTTCGATGAACATGTCCCAAAATCATGACTATCCTGCTCACAGTGGGTCTTCGACAGTTTAAAAGACAAGGGCAACTTTCTCCTCCCTTTGCACACGCCAACTCTTTTGATCGCAAGACCATCCCGATGAAGAACCAAGAGACTTGATCCGGAAGTTGGTTCTTTGCGGACTCGAAACCGTCTCGGTCACCACCCACTTACCAGGGTCGAGCGAAGAACAAGCTCTTGTCCTGCCGAAGGATCCAATCAGGATTACAGGTGTTCATTTGGAGCCTGGAAAGGGGCTCCACTGTATGCAGTGTGGTGAGTGAAGAACGCCACCGACCTGCAGATGTGTATCGGACTTGCCCTCACAGATTGCATGATACATCATGAGTTTGACCATGGCATGGAAAGACCTCTCTCGCAGGAGATGAGGACTACGTAAGTGACAAGCCGCAAGGGCGGAAATACCTGGGCGCCACACGTGTTTATCCCTCATTTCAGGCGATTCGACGGGGGATATTTCCCAGATTGGCCTGTCCAGATTCATTGATCTGATTTCGCCACAGGGGGTTGGCACGAAGAAGAAAAAGGAGGATTACCACGTGGTAACCGTCGGTGAACAAGAGCATCGAATCCTTCATGCACACGGTTCGCGTCAGGAGCAATAATCCGTTTGTCACAGCAATTCAGAATCTGTCTCTTTTACCTGGAAGCTTTAGGGACGACTTCTCGTGAATGTTGCGGATGTCTTCTTAGCCTGTGGCAGCCTTCAAATGATCAGTCATACCTCTTGCAATATGTTCCTGGTGAGAACCCCAGGCTGTTGGGGGCGGTTTTCGCAGCTCAAAACTTAAAGAGCGAGACTTCTTGGTCCGTTCCGGAACCGCTACCGGATATCCCGGGCAGAACCACGGAGATCGGAAGACAGACGTTGCCACCGGGGAGGTTGACCAATGTGGCATCTTGACCCCTGCATTCAATCCCAACACAGCCCCATAGAAGGATGCGATTGAATGCGACCATGCGTGCAACTGTAGTAGTGGTTCGATCGTTGGAGATTCTTCCTGTTGGTCACCGTCGTCCGACACCAACGTGTGATGTGTGCGGTTCCTCAATCGCAATTTCCGGCCTGCAGCGGCGATGGTCCCAAAGGGCAGGATCCAAGAGGCACAGCAGCGGCCAAGACTCTCCGGCGTGGGATCCGAACTGAAAATTGTTCGCTGCTACTTGGAATAGTGTACCGCGGTAAATGAATTCCACGCCATTGTTCATATCGGCATGCTGCCGGCATGTGTGGGATAGCGAAAGAGGCGAATTGGTGGTGTAAGTCGACTACCGGCTTGATCTTTAAAATCTCCGTGGTCCTCAAAAGAGTCACACTGCAGCAGTCACAGGCACATTCAGCAACGTGCAGTACGAGCGTGGCGTTTCTTGTTCGACATGCATGCCAACAAGATGCGTTCAGGTTTGCCCCTCGTGGCCACACTCCTCCTTCGGGGAACTCTTGGTGCACCAGCATGCAGTACCCAGACCATCTCTCGAGACGTTGTTATCGTTGGCGGTGGTGCAGCTGGTGCTCATGCTGCCGTGTGGCTGCGCGATCATAACAAGACCGTGGTCGTTGTCGAGAAAGCCTCCCAGCTTGTGAGTTTCTCGGATCTCTCTGCTATTGTTCGCGTTTTGACATTCGTAAACAGGGCGGTCACACAGCTTCTTACTATGACCCAGTCTCAAACAAGTCGATCAACGTTGGAGTGCAGGCTTGGATGGAGTACAAGGACACCTTCGACTTCGTTCACCGCATGAACGTATCAACAAGCGGGTCGATGCAGTTTACGACACTCGACTACCAGTACGTCGACTTCAGGACGGGCGAGCCGACAGACTTTGCTGCACCTGCATCCGACGACATGTATCCCGCCTTACAGAGATATCTCGATGTCATTCTTCAGTATGAGGACATGGTTCTGCCCGGCTTCGACAACTTCCCTGAGCCAGACGCTATTCCTGAGGACTTGCTGATGCCTTTCGTCGACTTCGTCGAGAAGTACAACCTCGAGGCTGCCGTTCCGCAGATCTGGGACTCCACTGCCCAGGGCATCGGCAACACCATGGATGTGCCCACCTTGTTTGTTGTGCAAGCTTCTGGCATTCCTATGGTTCGCGCTCTGTTGGGAACCGGTGCCGCCGCTGTTCCGGCCTCGGGACGTTTGTACGATCTGTACGAGGCCATCGAAGAGTTCTTGGGCGACGACGTATTGTACTCAAGTACGGTCTCCTCATCAAGTCGAGCAGAGGACGGCGTGTCCTTGGAGATTACTGGGGCGGAAGGCAAGTCGACTTGCATAGAAGCCAAACGCCTTCTCGTCGCCTTTGAGCCTACAGCAGAGAGCATGGCACCTTTCAATCTCGACGAGACTGAATCCGAGGTCTTCGACAAGTTCGGCTTCGCCACAGTCTATGCAGGCATCCTTCAGCACCCCTCACTACAACTCAGCACGGCCTACTCAAACAGGTTGCCTAAGACCGGCTCCAGCAACAACACAGTCTTCCCGACTCCCTCTCAGGTCGGCCGCATTGACTACCTCGGCGGAACCCAGAATCTCTTCCAGTTTACGGCAGTTGGCACTGAGAGTGATACCTCCGAGAGCATGAAGACCCTTATTGGTCAGTCCATTGATACGATGATCGAGGCCGGCACTATTCCCGCTTCGAACGGCTCGCTCAGCTTCGCTGCATTCGCAAACCACGGCAAGATGCACCCGCGCGTGACGGCTGATGACCTCCGTGCCGGTTTCATCCAGAAGCAGGTCGGCCTTCAGGGTCACCTCTCTACTTGGTATACGGGAGCTGCCTTTTCCGCAGGCTTTTCGACTGTTGTGTGGGAGTATAACAACGTCCTCTTGCCCAGCTTGGTAGCAAGCCTCTAATCATTCCGAGAGGTAATGGTATCGGCAAGGAAACTTTTCCCCTGCCATGTGTCTTGGAGACTGGCTTTAAATTTCAAGAGTTGTCCGTTTCATGTACATATTTCAAACATTAAGACTTAATTTGATCACGGTGCTCAATTCCGTGAACCATTATAGTCGGAGGAATAACCACATCGATGCACTTAACGATAAATGCGCACTGAGTGGCCGTCAAAAGTGGCGGGGCACTCCAATCGCGATCGCGGTTGGGTACGTCGCAGATCTGCCAACTTGTCAGGTGGAAAACATGTGGAAAGATCAGTCTTTGTGCCGCGGTGTCTGAAGATCTGTCAACCTTGTCATCCACACCCAGCCAGGCCCATACTCCGGTCTCTCGCGAGGCTCTTTCCTGAAAGCGAGAAAAATGGTACTAGACGTAGCATTCATATCTCATCGGTGAAGTCCCCACAACATGCATTCCGATGCCCCTACATGCACAGGCGGCCGCGCGCCGTTGCGCTGCAGAAATCAGGACATGTGGAAAAGAGACTCCGCAGTGGAAACTGCCGCAACTTTCCACTTGGAGAGGCATTTGCCGCGTTCCCCGGTGTCCGATCCTCTTTTTCTATCCTAAATAGGAGGTGACTCCGATCTAACCTTGTTGCATTCGTGTTGGTGGTCTCGATTTCCATCAAACCCCACTAATGCGAACCAACGGTTCACAGGGATGATATGACCTGGCCGTGTTGGCGCAGGGGTTTTCGGGAACAACAACGGAGGTCTTTCGGGTCAGATTTACTCTGCAGGCGAATGTTCATTGAATTATTAAGAAATCAGTGGGCTAGATCTATCACATGGGGATCAAGTGATGAAATAAACATATCAGTAAGCTTGACGAGAAGACTAGACACGGAGTGGAATAGTGCGATCAGATATAAACTGTTTGAGGACTGACCCTCAAATGGTGTACAATATTGATGCAGACTAGGTTTTCGTTGATGCCTCCTCTGCCTTCTCGTAATATGAAAGCAGTCACATTGTCAAAGACGTTTGATTTTTGAAAGTATTTGACGATGTGATTGGAAAACTAACACAAAGAAATGGTTCAACATTAAGATTGGTTCCAGCTAAGCCGGCTGGGTCTTCCAGATGATGAAAGAAAGAGTCAATTCTTTGTGTGTTGAATTTCGATCTTAAACTCTTCCACAAACATTTAGCTGCCGCCACGTAGTAGCTATGACCAACTCGATTCTTAAGGACCTTGCATCATTTACCCAGCCACGTTGGCTCGGCTGCATACTCCGGTCTACAAGCGCCCAAGTCACAATCTCAGAACTCACATCAACTCAAAACAATCGGCGTCGATGCGGGGTTCTCATAGTGCCCAGCCGCGTCATCCCACCCGGGGCCCGGGTCCGCTCTTCCTGCAGTTTGGCGACGATCTAATGTGGGAGCTGCTGTAGTCTTGAGAAAATCGCCGAATGTCATGCAGTGTTTCACTTATATTTAACACTTTCGGTTCTCTGCCTGTACCCGTCGACCACAGACAGTCACCTTTTAATCACGCGACACATTTACTTCTCCAGTATGTCTACTTACGAAGTCAAGGGCAAGTTCGCCATTGTCACTGGTGGTGGCTCAGGTACGTAAATTTCCCAAACCCTAGAACAAATTTTGGATTGACTTTAACTTTTTGTTCTTCTCGCATAAGGTATCAACCATGCCTTCGTCCAATTGCTATTAGAAGCCGGTTGCTCGGTGGTCATTGCCGACCTCAAGCTCACAGCCAATGCCGAAGCCACGGTGCAGAAGTACGCGAAGGAGTACGCCAGCTCAAATGGAGCCTACGCCATTTTCCACAAGACGGACCTCGCCGACTGGGGTCAAATCAACTCCTTGTGGGAGACGGCACTTAAGACATTTCCTCAGGTCGATATCATCTGCAACGGTGCAGGTCTCTACGAGCCTCCTTCCAGCTCCTTCTGGACCCTGCCCGGCGTCTCTCCCTTGGCGAAAGACGACGCTAACGCCAAGATCGGGCAGTACCAGACCTTCAGCGTCAACACTATTGCCCCGATCCGCTTGGCCCAGATTGCGGTTGACTACTGGCTCCAGAACCGCCACATCAAAGGCAATATGATCTGGGTAGCCAGCATAGGTGCATATGTTCACTCGGTTCACACACCAATGTACTTTGCCAGTAAGGCCGCTGCCATCAGTATGGTGAAGAGCCTTGGACGGCTCCACAAAGAAGTCGGAATCAGAGTCGCAGCCGTCTGCCCTGGAGCGACCTACGTACGCTCCTCCTTGCCTCCGCTCAAAATGTTGGCTGTGCACTGACTTCATGCCAGACCGAGATCTTCCAACCCGAGTACTGTCGCGACCGGATTCGTCCCGATGACCTGTCAATGACACCGCAGCAACTTGCTAGTGTCATGATGCGTGTGCTCACAGAGCCAGAGTTTGGTGATGGCAACATCGTCGAGGCTATGATGCTGGGAAACAAGAAGAATTCGTCACTGGGAGTACGAGAAGTGCCCATACACCTGCTTTACCCGTCTTGTGGGGCTGGTGAGGACCACCATCTGGTAGAGGAGGAAGAGAAGATGGTGGTGAACCTCAAGGAGCACGGGATGCGCGGCTAGTTGCTTGTCAACTCCCGATACCACATAGTATGTCTGTTCGTCGTAGGCTTTGCGCAGAGTATCAACCTTGGGAACATGATCAACCGAAACATGGTCAACGTTGCGGATCTGGCTTTGACTTTCAACTACCCCTGTATGGACTTGGCGGGTCGACGCCATCCTCGAGAAGCTTGAAAGCCCCCGGCTCCACCGCACTAGACTCCAATCCAACGATGCAAATTTGCCTCGCTTTCCACAACTCCACATCATCTTGACTATCGTGGGGATATCAAATTCTTTCCGCGGCTACCCCAGCATCCACCAGCGATCCAAGGGTTTCCGAAGATCGCATCTGGGAGGGTGGCCGAGTTGGTTATGGCGCCAGGTTAAGGTCAGCTTAACATCTGTTTCCTGGTGGGGCAACCCGCGCGAGTTCGAGTCTCGTCCCTCTCAAGATTTCCTTTTTGCTTGGTGTCACAATCATTTGAAACAAATATGACAGGGTGTTGATGAAGACTGCGTGTTGATTACACGCATACGAAATAGACAACTCTCTTTTGCCACAGTCGGGTTTGATGGCCGCGTCGCTTCAACCAAGGCGGCGTTGGAGTTTTCGGTCTTTTTATATGTGCGAGTTGTTCGCATGACATGTCTGTGCAGGGAAGATGCCTTGACTTTCAAGTAGCGGTGTGCTTTGACTCGAGATGAATGGTGGTCGATGTTGTCGGCATGCAACCCAAGCGGTGTGGGCTTGTATCCTTGCTTCTCGGCATTGCGAAAGCAACGTTGACAACTCTCCAATGACACCCTCGGGACTTCTGAATCTAGAAATCTCCCGAGCGACTGCAAATATGACATGCCTAGATGGGTATCCATCAAATTCAGGTCCACCAAGAATGGGCTGGACTTTAGGAGAAATACAAGACGAACAAAGACACTATAGGCACATCTTAATAGACTTCACAACGAGTAGTCCCTCAAAGGTGTCAGGCAATTCGTAGCACCATTGCTCTAGTAGATAACAGGGAATAGGGAACACAAACGCAACTCGCAGCACTTCCTAAAATAGAGTAGATCTACAACCAGGGCCAAGATTAGCGAGTGTATCCCTCCGGGCCTCCTCATCCGATCGCACGAGTAGTCAAAAATAAACTTTCGGGAGTTGTATCAGCACAGACGAGACCGGCGGGTATCTCCAACGGCCACGGCCACGGCGGCGTCAAGGCCCCCGACCACCGAAATGACTAAGGTCGCATCCACAGCGACCACGATACTTTCCATGGGCTTTCTAACGTCTAAACTCTGAATGGTTCCACGGAATCGTCCGGATTCAGAACCGTCCGTAGTAGTATAAGGCGACGGCTGTTCCCCCGCACTGGTAGTGGGATGGTTTGCCACCTTTTGACGACTACCGATAGTCACGGGGACTCGATTGCTCAGTTTACTTTCGGAGGGTAATTCCGTCACTGTTCTCGGTCTCGGAAACTCAATTGTAATACCCTCAGATTGCAGCCCGAACACTTCTCTGGGTTGACAGCAAATCTATCAGCATGCTCACCGTGGACTTGGTCACCCGATTGGCGGGACACAAACCGGGATTACTGCCTATCATTGCATTTTTGGTGGTGTGCGTCGGTGTTCTTGGCTGGTACTGGAGGGAAGACAGGCCGTATCGCGGATTCAAGCTCATCGGCCAAGAAAGCGGCGACTGGTCTTATCAGAAAGCTCGGCTGCGATGGAACTCGGATGCTCTCGAACTACTAAGAGATGGCTTTGAGCAGGTGGGACTGGCTTCAGACTGAGTGAAGAAACATTTCTGATCGATAGTAGACAAACGGCAAACCATTTCAGGTCCTCTCTCCTTTCGGCCCCTTGGTCATGTTGCACCCGCGCATGTCCGAAGAGATTAGGAATGACAAACGATTCACTTTCACTGGCTTCATTGAGAGAGTATGTATCTGTCTTTACTCTCTTACTTATCATTATCTTCAAGCCAGTCGCATTCCAGTCAACGCTCTACGCCTTTACAAGAAGACATACTGATCAACTTTGAAGCACTGGCTTACTCGCTACCCCGGTCTGAACGTCCTTCAAGACGGTCTAAAAGACGAAATAATCCAAGAAGCCATTCGCCGGAATCTTAACCAGGAACTCTGTACTACCTCCTCTCCGCCTCGTCTCCGTCAAGCAAATGGCTAACACAACCCGCCAGTGCACATAACCGAACGTCTCTGCGAAGAAACCAACCTCATCCTCAAAGAGCAACTCCCGTCGTCCAAAGGTTGCCCACCCCAATTCCATTTCAGTCTTTATCTCAAACTAATGAAATCCCCAGAATGGCAAGAAGTCAAATTCTTCCCTGTCGCCCTCCAGCTGTCCTCCCGCCTCTCCGCCAAA